CGCATGCCTGCGGATGCCCCTGCGGATGCGGGAGAACCCTTGCGAAGGACCACTGCGGATGCCAAAAACCGCCAAAAAATGGCCGCGGATGCATTTCCGGCGTTTGAGAAATACAAAGTAATAGAAAGCAACCCGCCCTGCGGATGCCCAATGGGGTGTGTGGCACATTGTATTATGTGGGGGAGGGGATTTTCTGCCGTTTCCTCCCCTTCCCTCGGTGACGCCTTCGTGTTGCGGAGTTCTCTTCTTCCCACTTGCGGCTTCCATGCCTCTTTCCAAACTTGGCCTTGCCACGCGTTGACTCCCCATCAGGTCTCGCCTCCCAGACTTGGCCCTGCCACATTCTAGGTTCCCATAAGGGGTGGTTTCTGCGAAACCGGTGCCTGCCACATGTTGACGTCCTCAAAGGCGGTTTCTTCCACAGTAGCTCCTGCCATGCGTGCCTCGGGCAGGCCTCGGTAAGCCTTGGAGCGCCTCGAATGCCAACAAGCCTGCTTCATCATGGCTCCCAAAACAGGATCCAAAAAACCAGTCGAAACATGGCGGCCAGAAAGGGACCTCGACTGTACGCCACAGAGGGGCATAAATGCTTTCCTTCTCGACTAGGTCTCTGTAAACACAGCTTGCGCATCCGAGTCGGGGCCAGAGCTAACACACTCGAGCGTGCAGTGATTGATCAAGAGTTACAGTTTATGCAAACATGTGCAATCATACCCTACTGAAGATCTTCGCACTGCTGACACAAGCTGCCCTTCCAGAACCTGTCGTCGCTGCTGTTGTGTGTTTTCCCTGTTGGTTTTTTGATTTGCCGTGAGATTATGAAACCAAGGTGTTTCATAGCCTCAGAGCGAAATCGGCCGCAACGGAGAAAAAAAAAACTGCCCTTCCAGAACCTCTGCCAAAAATTTCACTTAAACCATCAGCTCTTGGTGAAGGAGCTCTACGCTTGCAAGTCTGCGTCCTTGCTGTCAAGTTGGCGATTCGCTAACTTGATCGCATTGGGTTCAGTTTTGAAAGCAGGATGCACCACAAGAGCGTTTTGCAGTTTCCAATGACGATGATGCTTGGAAAAGGACATCTGAGCGGAATCTGAGAGGACCCTGAGAGCCGTAGTAGAGACGCAGCCGTTACCTTCGCGCCATAGCTCAGTTTCACACTCTGTTTCACTATGTTTGGTGTCACCTTTCCATTTGCTACATGGCATTGCCATTGCTAGCTTCTGGATTGCCCCAATTCTGTAAGTCTTGTTGCCCGTGCGGCTTACACTGTGTGATTTCGGGGCTCCTGGCTGGGGGGAGCCCTGGTTTCCGCCCAGTGTTGTGTTGGTTCCCTTTCTCACAGAGTTTGTGTTTGGCTGCTTTTGTGATTGTTGCCTGTTTTGCTGTTTTTGGTTCGACCGCCATTCCAATCCATAGGATGATACCAAGGATGATACAATGCTGTCACCCTTCATCAAGTTACCGACGTTGAACTGACCAGCTGATCACGCTGCCCTTTTTGTTTTGGTGTGTGTGGTTGTTTGTTTGTCTTGGTTTTGCTTTTTTTGGTTGGTTTTTTTTGTTTGCTTTGTTGCTTGTTTTGTTTGTGTTTTTTCTGTTGGCATCGTGACAGCCAATAGGACTTTGTACTGGTCCTTCTTCAGTTCAACTTTTGTAGTCCACCATCGTGAAGATGGAAGATGTTTTTGCATTAATTAATCAATTTGTCAATATGCAACTGGCTTACAGGCATGATGAACGACCTGGCGAGAGCTATGAGGCGTTGGACGGAAAAAAAAAGACGCTGGGCTTGGAGGTTGACACCGCTAGCTTCTCAGAAGGCCTTGTTTTGGTAGGACATACCGAAAGCAGGTGAGTTGAGCTTCACACCCAGCTGGGTGCCTTCCTTGCAGATGACGCCATGAGCTCGAAGGATGCTGAAAGACTTTGTGGTCGTATGATATTCTTTGGGGGGTACACCTTTGGAAGGGTTGCAAACTCTGCTGTGAAAACGCTTGGGCGCCTTTGTACTCAACCGAGTGCATCCAAGGGAGTTGATGATTCCAGCAGAAGGGCTTTGCAATTTCTCAGACAGCACGTGCTGTCCGGACCGCCTCTCAAAATTGAGAAGTCAATTCACTCTACTTGGTTTGTCTTTACGGACGGGGCTTGCGATCAAGAGGCCAAGAAAGGCTCCATTGGTGGTGTGTTATACAACCCTCCAGGAGTCGTCCTCGTGGTGCAGTTGGTATCGCGGCACTCTTGTGTCGCTGACAGACTGCCGGTGGTGGTTCGATTCCCCGCTGGTCCGCGAGTAAGACTCAAGACCGTAGACCCGCCGAAAGGCAAACGGGCTCGGACAAAAAAAGATGTTATACAACCCTTCAGGGGATTGCTTGCATTTCTTTGGGGAGAGCGTTACTCCCAGACTCATGGAAGACCTTTTCTCCCGGTTTCAGAACCCGATACATGAGTTGGAATTGCTTCCTGTCTTGGTTGCCTCGTTCTTGTGGGTTGAGATGTTTCAGCACTCGCAGGTGGTCTATTTCATAGACAACGAGTCGCCAGAATGGCCTACATACGTGGAAGCAGTGAGACGCTTAGAGCTGGTGAAATAGTGCAGTCCTTTGTGGAAGTGGAAGCCAGGTTGCAGCACAGGGTTTGGTTTGGACGGGTTCCAAGCTACAGCAATCCGTCTGACGCTCCTAGCAGACTTGAACTTTGAAGAAGTCCTTAGTCTTGGTGCTGTCAGAGCCAGTGTCGACTGGGAGATGACCCGTGGGCACCTTAGCCTTTGAAATGGGGCGGAGCTCGGAAGGTGCTGACATTCATCCCTGTGAAAAAGAACCGCTGCTGCTTCTGATCTGCACTTTTTCATCCTCACGTCGAATTGCGAGTGTTTATTTTTGGCGAAACGATCTCGTTTTATTTTTCCGAAGTTTACCGTTCGTTTGAAAAAATTACTGCGCTGTTTGTGGAGTGTAGAATAAGTCGCGGGTTTCTCTCTGAGAAACTCTCCCTTTTTTGCACACGCAACAATCGTTTGAGCAAATCGGTGTTAGGGCTTGTGTGTTTTGGTTGGAAACCAAACTTTTAAACAAACTCTGTTTTTGCTCGTGCGCAGTTAAACTTTTACAAACCAAACTTCCTTTAAAGAGAAGATGTTTTTTGTTTTGTGTGAAACATTCCGTCTCAAGGGTCGGGTGGGAGGGTTTTACCCCTGTTTTGACGATTTTTTTTCGTTTTTCCCTCCATTAGTCCCTCACGCGAATTTTTCCCACCCTCGAAAACTTTTCCTTCTCTTTTTACATTGGTCTTTGAAAAAAAAAGGCGGCGGAACTCGGAAGGTGCTGACATTCGCCCCTGTGAAAAAGAACCGCTGCTGCTTCTGATCTGCACTTTTTCATCCTCACGTCGAATTGCGAGAGTTTATTTTTGGCGAAAAGATCTCGTTTATTTTTCCGAAGTTTACCGTTCGTTTGACAAATCTACTGCGCTGTTTGTGGAGTGTAGAATAAGTCTCCAAACTCCACACTCTACACTTCACACTTCCCACCCCACACTTTACACTTTAGACTCTAGACTCTAGACTACACTCTACACTTTACACTCGACACTCCACACTCCCCACTCTAGACTCCACACTTTAAAATTCACATTCCACACGCTACACTCCACACTGTACGCTTTACACTTTACACTTTACACTCCACACTCTACACTTTCCACTTTCCACTCTTCACTTACACTACACTTTACACTCCACACTTTACAGTCCACACTCCACACTCTACACTTTACAGTCCACGCTCTACACTTTACACTCCACACTTCGCACTTTACACTTTACACTCCACACTCCACACTCTAGACCTTACACTCCACACTCTACACTTTAAACGCCACACTTGACACTTTACACTTTACAGTCCACACTCTACACTTTTCACTTTAGACTCCAGGCTCCGCACTCGTCACTACATTGTATATACACTGTATACTTTACACTTTACACTCTGCCCTTCACTACACTTTACACTTTACACTTTACACTTACACTTTACACTACACTTTACACTTTACACTTTACACTTTACACTTTACACTTTACACTTTACACTCCACACTTTGCACTCCACACTTCACACTTTACACTCCACCCTTTTTCGCACTACACTGTACACTCCACACTTCACACTCTACACTCTACACTCCACACTCTACACTCCACACTTTACCCTTTACACTCCACGCTCTACACTTACACTTCACACTCCACACTCCACACTCAACACTTGGCACTCCACACTTCACACTTTCCACCCCGCATTCTACACTTTACATTTCACGCTCCACAATTCCCATTTCACACTCTACACACTACATTCCCCACTCACTACTCTTCACCCTCCACACTTTGGGCTCCACCCTCTTCCGCATTCCACAATGTCTACAGTGCACTAGTGCGGTAACAGGGGAAAAACGTACAAAACTGTTCAAATAATTTGTTTCACAGGAACGTTTTACGTGACTGCATTCGGGTTCGTGGGCTGCATTTTGTTGTTACTGTGATTTTCATGATTTTATATAGTATATTTTAGTTGGAAATGAACCTACACAACAGCACAACAACGCGAAGAATAGGCAAACCTTGTTTCAACATTCTGATATTTAAACCGTTCGGAAAAAATTGTCATTGATAACAACAACTTTTGAGGAAAACGGACCGTTGTCACCATTCCTTGTAGTTCTGGTTGTTCTGATCATTTTCGTCAAGGTGACGTTGGTTTTAGTGGTAGTAGTGTTGGCTAAACCGAAATTAATCACAACTTGTCTGACATGTCAAAAAACCTTTGGGGCGCCACCAATGATCGGCAACATGTTTTTCATTCATGCCGCAGCTATTGTTGCAACAAAATTGTTTGTGTCGTTTCAATTATCAAAATGCAGTGCAGTAGCGGATCCAATCATCGCATCTTTGTGCAAAAACAAGTCTTGATTTTGTTTGTAATTGGAAAACACATGGCGAGTCCTCTTGGGGACAGTTTTCCCTTCAGACCGCCATTAGCAGAAAGTGCCAACGTTAGTGGTGGAGTCAAGGTGCCATTCGTTTGAATTCGATACATGTATTGCCTCGTTGTCCAAGGTGCCGCAAGTGTTCCGAGTCTTCCTGTGACCCCAGGGGGATTCCCTGTCGGTGGCCAAGGTTTAGAATTCGTTGGAGAGCTTGAAATTTGAACGAACTTATAGAACCTATCCATCCGCCATAATGTTGAAATTGCAGCATATTCACGTCGCTTCGCGACGGCAACCGCCCGCACCGCATCGTTGGGCTCACACAGCAGAGATATATCTATATATATATAAAGATCATATATGTACATATCGAGTGAACGGTCCACACTGTTAATGATGTCAGCCATTGTTCTCTTCTACTGCCATTGTTCTCTTCTATTGCCGTCGCTCCGCGACAAGAACCCCTGTGCGGCCGCCACGGTTTGAACGATGTTGTTCTCACACCTTCGCGACCGCTCGTAACTGCCAATGATGTCGGCCATTGAGACCAAAAACATCCGAAAGTACTGATTGTCGGAAAAAAAAACGCGAAGAATTTGATAGCCATGTATAGCGGACCAACGCAGTTCAAAAAATAGCGAAAAACATGAAAAAACGGCGAAATTGCTGTTATTTACAGTGTTTTTGCGCGGTGAGAAGCAGAAACCACTGCAAATACCATGGTTTTTGAGGGTCAGGTGGCCAAAAACACTGTAATTTACAGTGTTTTTTTAACCAACGTCAAAAAACACTGGTATTTACGATGTTTTCATTCACACCGTAACATAAAACAGCGTAATTTACGAGGTTTTTGGAAGTTTTGAAGCTAGCCGTCAAGCATGCAGAAAACAGAAAAACACTGTAAAAACCAGTGTTTCTGCTATCACAAAACGACGAAAATCAGTCCGAAAACGGGTCCAAAAACTCAAAAATCCGCCTCCGGGCCAGGCCACCTGCGGAACCGCAAAAAAAGATGTTGCAAACCAAAAAATTGAGGTCAAAAAGTTGAAAAACACGGGGTTTTTTCACTTTTCGCTTGCCGATTTTGGACGGGCGCGTTCACGAACAGGTGTCTTCCGTACTGTTTTTTACAGTGTTTTTTGAAGGCGAGCGTCACGACCTATCAAAAACAGGAGGTTTTGGCCGAATAATGCCCCCCCCCCCCAGGTAAACCTGTAACCTTTTACGAGTGCCATCCGGACGATCACGCCCCAGCACCTTCGGTGCGGGCGGATTTCAATACAACATGTTTCCACTGCGGCCTCAAGGCGCTTCTAGATGCTGCACGGCAACAAACAGAGTTGGTGTTTTGGATTGTAAGGTCAGGAGCATTTTAAAATTTTAATCGAAATTGTATTCAAAAGTCTTTTCACGATTGTTGGATGCATTCATTCATTGTTTTGAACCTGGCAGGACGGTTCAGGAACACGAGGGGAGGCTTCAATCTTTGCAGGATGCTCAATCAGCGAAATGATGCAACATGCATTTAGGACCTAGGAAAATAGTTTTGGACCTGATCAACCATTCCGATCCATTCCGTTACTGTGAGTCGCGCTTTGAAATTCATGGCATAGGTCAAGGCAACTTGCCGATCAACTCTCTGTGACGAAACTGTTGAGCGAGGAGTGGTGGCTGCAGACATTTTTGACGTTTTCTTTTTGTATAGGTCACATTTTTTTTTGTGTTTTAATGATTGCTTGACATCACTCATTGACTACCCAGGATCGAAAAGCGTTTCGATCGTCAAAGTCACGAAATTGGTGTGGTCCTTTTCTGCAATTGGCATTTGGGTTAGCCAAGGAGGTAGTGGGAGACACTGCAACGCTCGCGATGTAGGACATTTGTTTGTGCACAATCAACTTTCTGAGGCAAGCTGGTCTTGGAAATCGAGGACTTAGTCGTGAAAGCTTTCACTCGCCCTACCTTCAGTTGCCGAAACTGTTCATTGTCCTGAAACCACACCAAAAAACTAGACAGCAAGGATAGTAGGATAGTAGTGACCAACCTGAGGGGCGATGGCAACAACCTATCGCAGGCAGGTTTTGAAGTAAAAAAAATCATCAGCATCTGTTTTTGTCGATGCATGCGTGCGCAGGGAGCCAGCAGTCCGACCTACCAAGACATGATTGATCCCGTGGAGGATAAGACTCATATTGAGGAAAACCTTGAGGGCGACCTTTCACCTCACTTGGGTGGTGTCAGAGTTGAGGCTGAAGACGATGCACTGATGCCAGTCGACGGGATGGCCACAGTGACGAGCATTGAAGAGGGCAGAGAGGGCAGAGATGAAGCAGCTGAAGGAGGAAAATTGGAACCCCGACTGTCTGAAGTGGACTTGCTCAGGGAAGATCGCACAGAGTTCACCAGAAACTCTACGGATCGTGTCAACACAAGCCCACCAGTTACTACCTCAAAACGCAGCAAGGGAACACATTTGTTTTGCAGAGCCTTCCGAAGATAGCATTGTCAGCAGCAATCTACAACCTCCCAGACCAAGTCTGGTGCTTGTCCTGTACCAAGGCCAGACGTTTTTCCTTCATTGAAGGCCAGCGGTAATGCAGTCAAGATATGGACCCCAACTGCGATATGGCATTCCAGAGAAATTCGTCCGGTGATACATGTGCCAGGTGGCCGCAGACCATCAACTCGCAGCTTGCCTTTGCAAGTGGATCCTAGCTTTGCAGGCAGCCTGCTGACTGAGGCACGACATTTGATCTCGTCTGGGTGATTTGTGCACGGTCAAAACATCAGAGAGACAAATTTTCAGCGGCAAGACTGACATTGCCAGGAACGGTTTGCTGACCGCTTGGAGGAGAACTTGTTTTTTTGCCTTTCATCCAGAATTTACTCCTGCTGACTCACGCTGTATATCAGGAGAGACTGCAGCAGGTCTTGGCTGAGGACGCATTTTTTTTTGCTGTTTGTAGGGAATCTCTGACCCAAGCATATCCAATGAGATTGCTCCTGAAGGATGTTGAACATCGCTTGGAGGACTGTGCATTTGCTTGGCATTTTGGCATCAGAGCAATCGACACAGAGTTCTCAAGCTGCAGGACCTGGCTCAATACATTCAGGAGGAGATGTACCACTTTGTGCTTGGACCTGACATGATGGAAAGAATCAGGCAGAGCAACGTCAGCAACTAGAAATTTGAGGAAAGAAATTGTTTGGTGTTGGGATGTGTTGGGTGTCATTTTGGAAATCGTCCCTTCAGTTTCAGTCTGTAGCTCTGTCCAGTTTGCTGCAAGGCAGGAATCTTCACAGGTTCTATCAATCGAGCTCGCAGTGGCGTTGGCTGCTCAAGACAAGAAAATGGAGGCCAGTAGCTTAGAATTTATTGTGATTTAATTGCTTGCGGCAAGCCCGCCGGCCATAGAGAGAGTTTGATGTGCACTCTAGGTGGAAGCCGGAGAGAGAAGCAGAAGAGAAGAAGAAGAAGAAGAAGAAGAAGAGGAAGAAGAAGAAGAAGAAGAAAGAAGAAAAAGAAGAAGAAGAAGAAGAAGAAGGGGAAGGGGAAGGGGAATGGGAATGGGGGAGGGAGAGGGGGGGAGGATGGGGGAAAAGTAAAAAGTTCAGAGGAACTGGAACAAACAAAAACGCATAGCAAGAGAACAAAGGAACAAGATGGAACAAGTACAAACCAAGAAAATAAACAGGAACAACACCTTCCAATCAGACACGCCGGCAGGCCGGTGGATTGATTTTATTACTTGTCTTTAGTTAAGTCATGGGCTGTACTGGTCTTGGACTGAGTTTGTGAAGGAAGCATTAAGAGCTAGAGCCGAAACTTTAGCCTTCCTTGTAGTCAAGCAGCGTGATTGCCAGGAGCTTGTGCAATCCAGACTTCATGCCTCCTTGAGTCAAGTTTCCTTGTCGCCACCGGAGATCCCGCCACTCAGCAGCGACTAGCAGATGTTGAAAGTTGAGATAGTAATAGTATGATTAAATAGTAATAGTATGATTAAATAGTAATAGTATGAAATAGTATGAAATAGTCATAAGTCATATGTATGTGTATACGTATATATAATATTGTATATATAAATATACAATAGTGCCAGTGCACCAGGCCCCCTTTTTTGTTTTTTTTGAGCTTCACAGGCCCGAAGCCTTGACGTCCATGCGACAAGTTTCGGAGGAAATGGGTCTACTCACTGACGAGCTGTCGAAGTCTGGGTCTCAGCTCCTTGGAAGATTGCTGGATGGTTCATAATGCAAAATACTATTTAAATGATTGATTTTAAATGGATGATTTGAGGGTACCCTCATTTTAGCACACCCGCATGTCTGCGCATGTCTGCGCATGTCTGCGTATGTCTGTGCATGTCTGCAGCTTCAGTGTGTTTCAATCCATGATGCTGTGCAGCCAGCAGATCCACAGCACTTTTTTCCAAAGACTCATTTGGCAGGAGAGTAAAACTTGTGGAAGAAAATGTCTCTGAGCTCAAGGCCATTTCGCAGATGCTTTCAGCCCTCTATGACCACTTGCAGCCAATGTCTTGCTTCTGATGGAAAGCAAACTTGGCCAGGGCATTCGTCTCCAAGTCCCAGACATGCGAAGACTTCTCAGTTAGAGCATAGATTGACTTAGAGACCATGGGAAAAGCAATACATGCAGCCGGTTTGCTGCAGAGACACGTGTATGGGATTACGCCGCAAGGAAACGACATCAACACGTTGCAATCCAACCTAGCTGCATGTGCTGGATCCTGAGTCGCATAAAATCTCTGCTCGTTCCAGTATGCCCTTGTCAATCCAGGTCCGTGGTGATTTTGTTGCGTCATGCCGGAGTCATCCGTCCAAACCTGGCAAGGTGCAAAGTATCGAAGAACTTGAGGCTCTTTCGAGCCTGCTTTGCAAGCCTGCTTTGTGAGCTGTTTTGGTTCTTTATTCTCCTTTGAAATGTTTTTTTCCTCACTGCTGCAGGTTCAGCAACAAGAGTTGGCCGCTGCAGGACAACAAAGACGGTTCCAACACTTCTTGCGACGTGCTGCTTGTTCGCATCCTCCAAAGTGCCACCTAGGAGCAAAACCTTCCAGAAATGCATCCCCAACAAGACAAATGCTATCACCATCAGGCGCTGGCTTGAGTCTTACTCCTTTGCACATGGCAATGGTTGGTAGCTTTCGCAAGGGGTGGGGTATGACATCCCTTGATGCAGAACCATGTCAGCTCCATCCTTTGTGGTATGAAATTTGCACCGATGGCGGAAGAGCTTCGGATCAGTTGCCCTCTTTGACCTGGAAAGGCAGTGCTGATGATGATCTCACTGCAGAGGAGCTTCAACCGGGGTCACAGACTGCCAGGACCTCAGGAAGGCTTCTTCCAACATCTTCCAACCTTTTCTCTGAAACTCCAGGCACTGGGAACTGCTTGGAGCAAGCAAACTACAAAAGAGTGGAAGGAATGAAACGTCTTTCCACATCTTTCCGCCGTCTTTCGGGCTAAACCTCGGCTGTGCAACAGCATTTCCTCAGGTCGCTTTGGCTTTACCAGGACCTTCCCCAGCAGCATCGCCATCACAGTCGCTTGCACTTTTGGACGTCAGAGCCTTGGAACCTGACACTTGGAACCTGAGCAGCAGATGCAGATGTATAATGATGTATACTGATACAATCTGATGCAGATGATACAGTGAGACAGATACTGATATAGCAGATATACAGGTGATATACAGGTGATATGCTACATGATACGGTTGATGATGCACTTACTGATACACTTACTGATTCCTTTTGTGCGTCTTGCGACCTTGCCCAGGCCTCCACGGAGCTTCCAAAGCTGGATACCCAGACATGGATACGATTTGAGTTGATTAGATGATGGGAAGTACAACCAACATCAAACAATGGTCCTGCCAGACATTGCCAAACAACTAGCCAGGCCGAAGAGAAGGCTGGACATGGCTGGACTATTTTCAAGTTTCGCCATTTTTCCAGCAGTCGAGTAAGGCATTGATCTTTCAAAGCAGAAGGATGGCTAAAAAGGGCTTCTTATGATTCTTATATCATCTTATATCTTCTTATTTTTTTTTGAAATGTAGTCAGTTGGCCGGACGCTTCTTTTGCTCTCGATGTGATTGGATCTCTTTTTTTTCAGGCTCAGCGACATGCTTGGCTTGTACATGCCTCCTGCACAAAAACCGCCAGTGATCAACTTGGTCAAGCCTCCGGAGCTGACTGAATCTGTTCTTTTGGACTTTGCGACATCCAGAGTTTGTGTGAGGCTGTAGACGATTCGCAAGTAAAGGACCTATTCAGTGCTTCCTGAGCCGTGCCATATTAGTTCTCTTGGTTGTGCGGACTTGTGCAGATACATTTTTACTTGGTTTTACTTGGTTTTACCGGACTTGACACACTTGATATGTATTGATTTCGCAATGCAGGAGTTGGTGGCAGGCACTGAAAGCATGAAGACTCGGTTGGATCAACTGGAGCAGTCTGCACCCGAGGTTTCGCAATCACGCCCAGTTTCACACAGCTCTGACCTGTCGCAAGGTTTGTAGGCACTGAAACATCAACCAGAAGAAACAGTTTGCAGGCCAACGGGATCATCACAACACATTCTTTGGCTTTCTTCGGCAACTTTGTTGGACTTTGCTTGCAAAGTGTCCATAGTATTCCATAGTGTCCTTGGCATAATACTGCTTCCAAGATGATATACCATGACTGCTTTACAAGAACCAGCGATTGCACGATGTCATGTCGTCAGAACAAAATTAATGATGTCGACACGTTGGTCTGAGCCTTGGGATTGTGTCTATGGTTTGGGGATACAAAATCGCTTCCGTCGTTTGCGTTTTCAATCAGTTGACTCAGTTGAAGTCTATTGTCCAGTTTTGACAAAGATCTCTGAGGCATCCATCCTAGAAGACCGGATGAGAGAGCTGGACAATGAGTTCAGAACCAGCAATCAGAAAGTGCAATCGCAGTCGCTTCCTTAGCCGCTTTGGTTCTCTTTATTATTTCTAAAGGCATTTGACAGCGTCACCTTTGAGCGATTCGTCCGTTGATGCAGTAGAACATAGTAGAACAACAGAGGCCAATACACTGCATGTTTGTATACGTTAATGGAATCGAATGGAATCTAATGGATCAATGCTTGGTCCACAAGCTCTTGCAGTGAAACAAAAGCAGTGAGACATTGGGGTCAGACCTCGGAGGCTGGATCTTCTCCTTGCAGCCCATGAAACTCAGCAAGCCGAGGACATGGGCTGTCTGGAGCCAACTTGGAACGACCCATTTTAGCCCAACACATAGGCTGTCATAGACCATTGATGGTCATTTGCACAGGACCTGAGACACAACAAGACCTGGAATTTGGCCAACCAGGTTGGACGAATTTGTGCAATGTGTGGCAGCTAAGTGATTTTTCTTCGTCTCATAGGGTACTCCAAATTCCAGTGGTTTATCATCTTCCCCATCAAGCTGACCATGTGAGGTTACATGTTTCAACAAACCCATTCGATGCTTCGCAAAAGAATTTGGATTCAGCTCTTTGTTGGCTGCAGCTTGGCTCCGAGCATCAGATTGGAGTACACCTGACCAAAGACGCCATAAAGGCCACTGTAGATGAAAGACATGTCAGAAATCCATTGATTTTTCACTATGATATTGCTGTATCAATCTGTATCAATCTGTATCGTTTCATACATTAATATACAGATTCATACATCAATCCCAGAATGTCTTAGGACCGGAACTGCAGAGGGGCGAGTCGGTCTGATTTGTATCACAACGTCATATAGGGGTTGCTGTACCAGAAACAAACCACAGCACACAGAACCCTTGCTCTGTGTTGAGCCAGAAGGCAGCAGTTGCAGTTGGGAGGAGTAATTGGCATATGAGCCACACACACGCAGACACAAAAAGGAAAAAAGCTCTTCGCTGCAGCATTTTCCATGTCGCCAATGGCATGTCGGTTGCAGCGAGTTGCAGGCAGATGCATTTAGACTGCCGTTTTGCTTGTGATCTATGTATATTTATGTATATTTAACATGTTTTTTTATTTTAATTGCGTTTATGTATTATTTATGTATTTTACTTGGGGCCTTCCATATGCCAAGGCCTTGCAGGGCGGCTGAAAGCCATCCGGCCTCGACCTGCCGCGGTCCCAGCGGCACGCAGGGCGTGGCACTGGGGATGTCGTGATGTCCACCGCAGGCTGGCTCTCAATGGATCAACCGCCGGGGCTTTGCAGAGATCGTCCAGTCCTCATTCGGAGAACAAGAATCTTGGGAACCCAAAGAACCCAAAAGCAAGCCTAATTTAATATATTAAATCTAATTCACTAATCCATTCTGCTTCAAGTTTTGGACGACAGATGGGAGTGCAAGGCGTGCACGCATTTGGTTGGGACTTGAAAACTCAACCAATAGTGGACATTCCAATCGGTCCAAGGTCATTTTTCTATGCTTTTTGCTCTTCTTATCTACCTCCTTCGCATTTGTCAACCTTCGGTGACATCGGGTTAAGGATCCTGTCAGCTCTGGTGTGGAAGCGACGTCATTTCCTATGCGCACAGCCACTCTGGTGGTGGCCTTATCTTCTCAATCTCTGTTGATCCTGCAATTTTTCCCATGGTTTTTTTTCGATCGTTTCTTCGGTGCAGGTTGCTGGGACGCTGGCCACCTCAGCGGTGGGTGCCGTGTCTCTTTGGGTGCGCCCTGTGAAGCTCTGGAGTGCAGGGAACATCAGGGAACTGTGGAGCCGAGGCTTGGGGGCCTCGAGGCAAGGAGATAGGCGTCGACATCAAACCAATAACGGACGAGGCACATGACTTGGCACATCATGCATTCGGTTTGACTGTGTGGAGCTGGGTGGAGCTGGGTGGAGCTGGGTGGGAGCCGGGGCGCCTGCTGGATACAGGTTTTTGACCACAATGACAACCTCTTCGTTTTCCATTTTGACAAGGTGGGATCATGTTTGCACAAACCTTTGGGCAGACAAGAGCACCCAAAGGAAGTCGAAATGACACTCGCCAGGCCGAGGACCTGGAAGCACGAGGTGCCCATCTCAGGTTTTCAGAAGTAGAGCCAGAATGCTGGAAAAAGTTTTGTGTAAATCGTTTTGCACAGACACAGGCTTAGACGAAGTTTGTGAAAGCAAATTGAAATCAATAAGCTTCTTGGGAATACTCTTGTAGCATCTAGATTTAGATGATAGAATCTTCTCGCGAAAGTCCAAATTGGCGGTGCAATCGGTTGTTTTTTCGGTTATGCTACAGGTTGGGAACTTCACCGGGTCATGGACACTCTGATCAAAGAGCCTGACTTGAGCGGAGTCAAGTGACCCCTTTCGGTTTGCGTACGGCGTGGAAACTTGTGCGAGAGCAGTTGACCCTTTGTTGCCCAGGCCCTTGCAATGGTTGGGTGATTAGTGACTCACTCTTGCGAGGTACTACCAAAATGTCAGAAAAGAAGGCCATGGCTATAGCCAACGGATACGTAATTAACTTTGGGAGACTGGAGAGTTGACAGCCAACCTACCTTCAGGTGATCCCGTTCTTCCTGGTGAAGGGAAAGATGATGCTATCAGAGTTGTTTGCCCCTGAGCATTCTTGCTGTGTAATCTTTAAATGGTTTAGATATCTTTACATCAGATAGATGCTCCACAGCACTGAAGAAGCTGAGACCAGGTCATGTACAAGGGACAGAGGAAGTTTGTAGCTCAAGCACAGCTCAGCACAGGGGCTGATCTCCGACGCGAGTTCCCAGGATTTCCCAGTGCCTTGGGGTGCTTCCTCATGGCAGATGCTGAGGTCAGTTTTGTTCGTAGGAGACGAGATCCCAAAGCAGGAGGCACCTTGGGCTATGGCCATGGGGTCCCACTGTGGGGTTCCTTCTCATGACTTCGACCTTCAACAGCAATCTGCTCAGATTGTGGACTTCTACAAGCCAGTCTCCCAGGATCTTTCAAAATTGAAGGTGCGCCTTGGGGCACTTGGTGAACAAAAACACAATGCGAGACCAAGTTTTTATTTCTTTTTTCAGGTGCCGAAAAAGGTACCGATGGTGTCAAACGCGTCGTTTGACAAGGACACGTTTCTGCATTTCGACAAACATGAACAAACTGTGCGACATATGTATATGTAATCAAACACAGCAATGATGTGATAGCCACTGGCAGGATGTTCTACAAGCCAGTGCTCCTGGGCAGCCAATGGTTTTGCTGCAGATGTTTGAGGTCGAAGACTCTGTTTTTTTTTGAATTGGATCCCGATTTGAAAGCTTGGTCACAATACTGTATGTCACAGTTAAAGTGCACCTTGGAGTGCAGGATACGTGCTTTTTGTGCTTCTTGATGAGACCCTTTGTCAACTCCTTGGTCACGGGCTGAGAGTGATACCTTTCTGCTGTTCTTTCAGACCGCAGTCCGCCGTTCAAGATTCCAAACCAGGCGGAGTTGCTTGCAGAGAACAAGGTGAGGGCTTCGCGTGGAGTTGTAAACAGGGGTCAAGATCAGTGCGAAACGCGCAGGCACCTTTTGTCCTGAAAAGGTTTCCATCTCAGTCTCCAGCAGATTTGACGGCATTCCAAGTCACCATATGTCACCATTTTGCTGAGGATTAACATCGAAAAGAATGATTTTCCAAACAATTGCCCTGTGGCCAGGGGTGGGATCCCCAGTGATCCCCAGTTCTGAGGCCTTAAAACTGCACTTGTTCCATGGCCCGTCCTGAGGAACTCCGACCTTTGCCTTATTTCGGGGCCCGAATGTGAAGGGGCAGAAATGGGAGGAGCCACTCTTGCCTCAGAACTTTATCAATCTTCATCTCAGGGGGTTCATTTTGGTTTGCAATGGTTTGGACAGTGCTGTGCAAAATGTCCAGGAATTCAAACCGAAAGACCTTTGTAGCAAAATCTTGGAGGTGGGGTGATACAATATGATGCAGCTCACAAAGGCTTCAAACTTGCGATGCTTTGGCATTTCAGTGACAGGTTTTCCCCAACATCTCGGATGCTGCTGTGCTCTCAGTCTTCCTAGTCTACGCTATCGGGCTAGTGAAGGTCGTTTTGCAGCAGATTTCTCCTGACTTGTGGCTTCGAATCGAGGCTTTTGAACGCATGGATGAGCTACAATCGGCCGTTTCGCTTGGGTCTTGAATTCTTCCAATCTGGCATGGTGGTGATGTTCCTTTCTGCTGAATCTGACCGTCTCTGTGGCCTGGAACCAAGGAAAAGATTTCAACTGTTCACTCAGCTGGTGATGTGGACAATTGAATTGCAGAAGCTTGAGTGAGGTCCCAAGATTTTGAGACAAGTGAAAGTATTTGTCGGCAGACGATGTCAAGATGGACTTGTGGTTGATTGTACGGATTCTGGAGGTGTGAAGGCGTAAGTCTTCCAGAATATTTTCCAGTGTTTTGACAATGTCTCGTCATATGTCTCGTCATAATTCTCGTAGTCTATCACTTGGGAGCCTTCTTCTGCCAGTTAAGTTTTTCTATTATTTTCCTGGTATTTTGCAGCCGTGGATCAGACCGGTGATGGAATATCAAGGTGTCTACTGAATAGCATCTGTGACAACTCGACAGAGGTCATGCATCGCAAACACCTCAAGTGATGGAGGGTTGGTCCTCAGACGACGCTGTGATGCAGACTGCTGTTGTTCAACTGTTGTTCTGCCTGACCACATCTAAAAATCCTTAAATTTGCTCAGGCCCAATGAAGAACATGACTTCAATAGCACCCTGCAGCAGTTGATGGCCAAGGATATGAGGCAGATATGAAGCAGGTATGACACAGTTATGAAATGACACCGTGACATTTGCTGTAGACCAGAGACCTTTACAGACCAGGCGGGTTGATGGTATGGACGAGAACTTAGCATTCCTTCAGAAGCAAGTCGAGGAGGCCCATTTCAGACTCACGTCTGATTTTAAACCAAAAATGCTGTGATTACATTATTGACATTTAATTGTGTATCGAGCTTGGACAGGTCGAACATGATGCAGTAGTTCTCGGAATCATGCTCGCAAAACATGCGCCCGGCTGAGCTTGGAAGAAATTGAAAGCATGGCAGCGTGTGCTTCGCTCGCTTGTGAAGAAAAAAAAAGCATCCACTTTTTTGATCAGAATTGGAGGCATACGAGTACCTTCCTGTAATCGCAACGGATTGCACTTTCACTTCTTTCCAATGAGGTCCTTGCTCGCGAGGCAGCTGAAACTGCAGGGCTCTTGGAAAAGCTGAAGGCCCAGTGAGTGCTTGAGAAGGGTTTTGGACTAGGCGGTCCACGGGTCCATGTCCTCAGGACACGGCCCACGGCTTCGATGGTCTGAAATCAGATCTGAAGTCCGAAAGTGTTGCTGATTTTCCCTGCAGATTCTGCAGTGTCAGCTGAAAAAGAACTGTGCCGTGAGAATCCGAGACTTGCCTGCAACGTCCCGTGCACTGCAAACAGATACTTGAACTGAACTTATTTTGAACTAATGAGTACGAATCTGCGAGCCTCTTCTGGTCTCACCAACTGCTGGCCCAAGCATTTTCTATTGTCAGATATTTCTCTGATATGCGCACATTGTCAGGTGGACGTCATTCTGAGCGTCATCAACTCTGAAATGAGGTCCATCAGCGTGGTCAAGATACAAAATTCCGGTGTATGATTATATATAATTATATAATATATAATATAACTATATTATATAATAGAACTATAATATATATATATATATATATGTATACTGTATATATAGTGCTTCTAATTCGTTTGTACGCTTGGCGCAAACCTGCTGTCCAGGACTCTGCGGAGTGACTTTGATCAGAAGTTGAGCTCTGCGATTATCGGAGGGAAGAAAGATGCTGATTCGTGCTGTTCTCAATAATTCTGTTGTAATATTTGTAATATTTGATTTGGCAGCTGTTTTTCTCTCACAATGGCGGAGCCAAAGTCATGGCCAGCTTATTTCTGCCAAGGAATGATGGGCCACGAGACGGGTCACGAGAAGTTCAGGAGACCAAGTGCTTGAACCCATTGAGCTGGTCGAAATACCGCGGTGTTTTAATCCGGGCAGGCCCCTCCTGTTGGTTGTAGCAATTGTAGATGCATATGTACAATGTGTACATATATATATACATAATGAAGCAATCCTACCTCTCTCTCTCTCTCTCCATGTATATTTATTATATAATATATATATATATACATAGAAGTAATGATGTAACACACCTAATTATATGTATGCATACGTACATACATGCATGCATACATACATAAATAAATACATAAATGCATAAACACATAAATACATACATAAATAGTGTATGGACATACATATTTTGTATTGTATATAAAACTTGCGGTGTGCTATGTTGTACCGTGTTGATTACGTTGCATGTTCCAGGACCTTGAGGAGAAGGTGAAACGATTGCAGGACAGCCAGCAGCAAAGCCATTGGCCCAGCATGACAGCCAGTACTCAAGGTCTACCTGCAGCCAATGTCATGCAACCAAATGTCTTAAACGTGGTGGTGATGATGATGATGATGATGATGATGAGGGATGATTTATAAATTGAATTTTGTGCATTGGATTCACTTCAGAGAAAGGCATGCTAAAGATTGCTGGCCTGCGATCCGCGCACAAGCATGCTGAAGCCCAGGTGGGAAAATTGTCGAAACTTGAAACTAAAAGCGAGTACGCACATGTGTACTCACAAACGCGGAATGTACCGCAGCTTTTTCTTGAATGTTGTCTTTCAAACAGTGCACGTCACTGCCCATATTCTTGCCCTTGCCCCATCAATAGTTCGGGTGATATTGGTAGAGCACCAGTTCTCACAGATGCATTTTTGGTCTTGCCGACTGTTCACGTGGCTTGGAAAGGCCAATTTTGCCTTGGAGAAGTTGAAGAGAATGCAAGCTGAGGCGATGAAACCACTGTTCACACCAACAAATCCGAGGGTCTATGAGGATAGGAATGAGCAGGATCATGACCCACATGCAAAGAAGGAAGCAACAACTGCGAAGCGGTTGACAGCGTCAAAGTTCTGGAAAAGGGCCTTTGCGAATCTTTCGACACAGTTACCAGTCACGTCAATAAGATGCAAAATGTCACATGAATTCTGAATCAAACAGCCAGGTAGGCGGCATCGTCGACCAGGCCATGGCAGCAATTTTTTTAAAGTCTCTTTCTTCATCTTTCTTCACTGGTCAACCGGTCACCGCTGATGTTTAGATGTTTAGAGTGAACAGGTGGTGATGCAGCAGACAAGGCTAGACTACTTGCTGGTGTCCCTGGCTCAAGCTTCAGTCGACTTCAGTGCGATGGCTTGAATCTTCACTGGTTCACTGGTACAACAGACAAGGCATGGTGCTGCGATGCAACAAAGGGACGGTTTGGATCTCAGGTTTTAGCAGAGCATGTTGGCTACATCAGTGCAACCCCTTCTTTCTAAACTTCTAACCTGTTCCGCCTGTTCCTGTATAGTCTACTGCCGAGGCACTTTCAGCACAATCGTGTCAGTGGGGGAGCAGGAAAAGAAGCCCAAGCTGAAGGCCGGTGCATTCCGGTGCTGGTCGCATCAAGAATCTCTGTCGCTCAGCTGCCCTGAACCATCCTGAACCAAGGGTGGAGCTACAATTGCTACAATGGCAACGAGGCAGAAGCTTTGCTCATGGCATCACAATCCGCAAATGCAGTCCAGACATTTTGCCAGGACATTTGAAAAGACGGCAACTCAAGGTGATGTTACTGGTTGGAATCTCAAAGAGTTTAGGAAAAATCTGGGGGCGGCGCTCATAGCCACTGTCTCAAACAAATTCAGCTTGAGGGGTGAACGAAGTGAACCGGGTGAACTTTTTTTGCCTTGTGGCTTTAGCTGTGTCTCAGGTCCAGATGTGGCAAAATTTGAAACGACTTCAGCCATGGGCTCAAAGCCCTAGATGCCTCCGAGTCTTCGTTAGACAGTGACAGCGCTACACCAAGGATGAAGTGAATGCCTCCAGAATTGCCAAGATGGGCAAGAGACTCCTGGAACTCGATAGCGAGGTGGACGGATTTGTAATATATAACTTCCTATCATTGTCCGGTTCGCGGAACCAGGAGAAGTTCCTGGAGTTACTGGCTTCAAGTTTCTGATTTGTTCCTGTAGCCTTGTGAAGAGACAAGATCATTTTCCCTTGACGATCTTGACATCTTGACCTGGGCTGGGGCTGAAGGTGAACCGCACTGTTGTGGATTTGCGGAGCGAAATCCAGGCCCGAATTTTTGAATATGCTCTGGACCTGAAGCGTCATGCGGCAGCTGTGAGGCGGTCAACAAGACGTTACTCGCATTTCTGGAGCTCTTGCCTCGACGCTTGAGAAGGTGGCCGTCCTTGACACATGGCACACATGCTGATGGAAGTTGCGCTGCTTGTGAATGCCAGGATGCTGCAAAGACAACTCTTTCCAGAACCCTCAGAGGACGGACTTTTCGGCCCGTTGTGAAAGCATCACATTGCAGAAACAGTCACTGTCTGTGGCATTCCGTAGTTAGATAATGAGATAATGCTATAATATGATATATATATATAGATAGAATATGCTATAATAATATGCTATAATAAATTAACATGTTACAATATGGTATAATACCGTTTGGGACCTCCTCCTATTATAATATGTGACAAATGTCTGTTACATCTGCAGTCGCTGGCCAGGAAGATCCTGCAGAGATCAAAGTCGCCCTGTTCTCAGCCGAACACGCAAAGCCCATGTGGCTACTGTGGCTACCTCTCAGGAGCGGTTGTTTTTCAGCTGGAACCCAGGAGTTCAAAGCTGAAGAGGGTAAGAAGCATGTGACCTTTGGCGATCACGTGGAGTCACATCCTTGGTTTGGAGACTGGATTGGGGAAATGGACGAAATGGACGAAATGGACAAAATGGACAGAATTAACCCATTGACTTACAAATTTCACCACAGCACAAGGACCCGAACCTTTACAGTGGAAGAGGATGAGAGCCGGCTTCCATGGCAGCTGGCAGGGGAGCCGGACATCAAGTTGGTTTCTCAGAAATAGAAATGAGTCAAATATGTCAACTGAGCTTATTTTTTTTTGTGCAGATGTTTTGGTGACTTTTGTTGGCACAGCTAAGAATCCACATTTTTGGGAGGGCTCTCACAGGTGGAGCTGGTGCTTCAAGCCACGAGATGAAATGGGAAAAGACTTGGCCATGTGTCTCGAACAGCAGGGCTGACCTGTTTCTACCACTAGGATCCACTAGGCAGCAACAGTTGACACAGCAAACATCATGCAATGGGACCAATGGGTTCGCTTTTTCTACATTTCCATTTTTTGATGTTCAAAAACTTACTGGCACACGTAACATATGTAACCATATGTATGGTTGCAGTTTAGATAGTCACGGCAGTGCCATGCCAGATTCGAAACGGAGCGGGATGACTTTGAAGCGAAGATCGTCCAGCACATGCCTCAGAATTTCCATGATGAACAGCAGTTGACCCGCCAGGTGGTGTCGAGCTTATTTTTCTAACGTGGGAAGGTGATTCTCAGTAGTCGCGACCGACTTCAGACTTGACATTGAAAGAGAGTCTCAACTCAGATGGCTTCAACATGGCGGAGTTGCTCCAGCTGTCAATGCAAAGGGGGCAGGGCCAGCTGGAAACTCAGAGTTTGATGTGATGCCTATGCTGGGCGCTGGGCAGAGTTGATACCTCGAGGCCTGGGGCGGCCCGCGACAGTCAGGACGGGACAAACCTGAAGATTCCGTTTAAAAAAAAGCACAGCCAGCAATGCCAGCAGATCACTCGACCAATGGAGCGCATTCTGTCCCTGTTCAGATGCTATGATTGTCAATTTTGCAGAAGATGCCGTGGTCGAAAGCTTAGCTGTGTGAGCTTCGTATGTCATGTTTGCGTATGCACGACTCCTACGGCAGGTATTACATTGAAATTTCTCGACGTCGTGACTTTTATAATAGCATGATTCAGTCTACAGTGTTTTCAGAGGTTGCGGCACCACAAATGATGGCTCTAGAAGATCGTTTGGAGAGGCCCACAGTTCAGCTTCTTTGTTTGGACAGTCCACATAACTTGCTGCTCCGGGAAGCATTGTGCCTGATTCTGGCTCATCAATTAGATATTCAATCTTGAAAAAGCATCTTGTTTCCTTGGTTTTGACTGTACTTTTAGGCTTGGAAGCGAGTTTTTCAACCTCAAGAGGGCGCAGGCTGGGGAGCATTCCTTAAAATGTTGTCGTGGCCACTATGAATTGAGCTTGAGATTGAGATGGTGCTTTGTGCAGAGTGTTGTATTTCAAAGTGCCAAGCACTCCTCTTCCAACCACTTGGATGCACTTGGTTACACTGTATTGGAAAAAGCAGCCACACGTGACAGCCAGGACAATAATCATGTGCGGAAGGCCGACAAAGAAGAGGTTCAGCAATTGCTTGCGCCAGGAGCTTTGATCATTTTTGATCGTATGAAAGAATGAAAGATCTCAAACCTCTCGAGTCACTCAATGAAGTTTTTGAATGGCAGGGCAAGATGGTCTTTGTTCACTCAGGCGTTTGACGTTTTTCGAGAAGCTCAATATTCCAGGCATTTTTCTGATGCACCTAGTGATGAACATATTGATTCACCTGCTGATTTGATCCACTTCCTGTGCTGTGGCTTGTCCCGTTTGCCCACTGTGCAGATTTGAAGATTCGGATCGAGTCGCTCGAGGCTTGTGAGACATATATAGTCCTGCTACAGCAACTGTATTTTCTACAGGGAGTTGTATGTCCTACAGTCTGAAGAAAATGCCTCGAAGCTTTGAAGGCTTTGTTCAACAATTGATGTGGCAGGGTGATACCAAGTTCGCAGCGCAGAATGTGTCGGATATGGCAGAAAAGCTCTACAAGGCAGCCCCACCAGAAAATGTTATGGACTGGACCTGGATTGTATGCGGACGCACGTGCTTCCTCTAGGATCCAAGTTCTGGAAAACAACAAAAGGAGGACCACGACTAATGACCTTAGATGGGCTGCGTTTTGGCAGGTAGAAGCTGTGGCGGTTCCTCGTTCTGAGCTGGTAAAGGTCTGAACGGAATTTGCAAAGTGCTGTCACTCTGCGCGACGTCCGAGCTATGGTGTGCCATACAGGTGCAAAATGGCTTCGAAGACTTGAGGTCTGATCATCAAGCCATGAAGGCCTCGGTTTTGTCCACGAAGTCAGATTTCATTTCCTGGGCATTGCCATGTGCAGGTAGAACTGAAAGAAATGTCCGTTGCTGCCTCAGACTCCAACTATCTCCGACTATCTCCAACTGTGTTGTAGAATTGTGGAAGTTGGATTCCTTGTGCGGGTTGTGAAGGCCACCACCTACAACTCAAACCGCAAGTTCGTTCACGAGATGGCAGAGGCATTTGGATCCAAGCTGAGGAAGAAAACTCTGGGAAGAAACTGAGGAAACTTAGCCAAGTCACGGTGGCATGGCATGCTTCGTCGAATGGTTGCCAAGTGCCTTCTGTTGGCCATGATGTCATCTGCTTGAACTATGTATACTTTGTGTATATAGAATGACGTCAATTCTCTACGGACACTTGTTGTCTGAATATCCTCAAGGGGTGGAGTGTCTGTTGACAGCTTGATCCTGATGTTGGTGGTGAAGATGTAAACAGCATCCACCAGAATCTATTTCGAAAAGAAGTTGTTATGCTCGCTCCAATGCTAGAAAAGGATGATACCAACAGGCGAGGACTTTTCTGTAAGGATTGCAACAGAATGACAGGCCAAAGCATGGACTCAGCAAGCCATCGTCGGCTTGGAAAAGAAGAAGGCCATGTTTTTTGATGTACAAGGAGAGCCATCTATTGTCCAACACCATAATGAATAACGTTTGAGCATGTTCAAGCACTGTCATGATTAGAAGATTGCTTGCATAGATGCAGACCTTGCTAAATGTATCTATATAAATGTTAACGTTGAGATGAAATGTAACCTTCCACACAGTTTCCTTCAAGGCACACCCAGACTGCGACGGCATAGAGAGAATGACTGAGAATGCAAGACGGAAGTCTCGAAAGTCTCGGAAGTCTCGGAAGTCAGAAATCATGTCACAATATGTCACAATGTCGTGGCAGAGCCATCGCAAAGGCTGACGGTCCCGACTTGGCACAGCTGTCCGAGAAGGTTCGCTGGCGTTCGGCCTTGACTCGAAATGACAACACTTTGATAGCTGCATTGGATTGCATTTCTGTATGTTTCATTATATTTGTATGCATTTGTATCATTTGTATTCATTTGTAAATTAAACTGAGTAACTGCCCTGAATTGTGTTGCTGCATACAACGGCAGAACAGTGCTCTGTGCCGGAGCAGACGTCAGGTTGGAAAGCTTGAGTACTCCATCAAGGACAATCGGCGCATCCTCGGGGATGGTGGTGGACAGGCCTGGAAGCTGAGCTCCCGCTTTGCCCATCTTTGGCCGGTCTTTCCATCTTTGGCCATTGTGACAGACTTTGTGACTTCATTGTGCGAGACAGTCTTTGACAGGAGATCAACGCAGTGGTTCGGCGCATCATTTTGAATCTTGAGGCGCTTCGCAGTGAAGCATTTTGAATCAAATTGAAAGTTTTTGAGACCCGCTGCGAGGACAAGATCATGGTCCTGGAGAAGAAGATCGATGCCATGGCGGATGGCAGGCCGAAGGCCCCTTTGTACCTTGTTGGCTGGCTTGATACTGGATGCCCCAATAGGTCATGCTCGTTCAACACTGTGTTATTTAAGGGCTGCCGCCCCTGCCGCCGACCCCGGAAAAAAAAAGAGGTTGCTGAGGATATAACTACGGAAACAACTGGATATTAGCTAGAAAAACAATAGTTTTGGACAAGGTTTTATGGTTTTCGACCAATTTTTATACCACTGTTTCTACAATGAGACATAGAACCCTCCTGTTGCTCCTGTTGCTGCTGCTGCTCTTCCTCCCGAGGCTGAAAACGCACCCTCCCGGACAGGGAAACACAGTGGCCCTGAAGGAAGAGCAGCAGCAGCAACAGGAGCAACAGGAGGGTTCTATGTCTCATTGTAGAAACAGTGGTATAAAAATTGGTCGAAAACCATAAAACCTTGTCCAAAACTATTGTTTTTCTAGGGTTTCAGAAGGGACGTTAGGGAGTTTTTGGGCTCGATTTTGGCGCTGTTCCGTCCTTCAGGGCCACTGTGTTTCCCTGTCCGGGAGGGTGCGTTTTCAGCCTCGGGAGGAAGAGCAGCAGCAGCAACAGGAGCAACAGGAGGGTTCTATGTCTCATTGTAGAAAAACAGTGGTATAAAAAATTGGTCGAAAACCATAAAACCTTGTCCAAAACTATTGTTTTTCTAGGGTTTCAGAAGGGACGTTAGGGACTTTTTGGGCTCGATTTTGGCGCTGTTCCGTCCTTCAGGGCCACTGTGTTTCCCTGTCCGGGAGGGTGCGTTTTCAGCCTCGGGAGGAAGAGCAGCAGCAGCAACAGGAGCAACAGGAGGGTTCTGTGTCTCATTGTAGAAACAGTGGTATAAAAATTGGTCGAAAACCATAAAACCTTGTCCAAAACTATTGTTTTTCTAGGGTTTCAGAAGGGACGTTAGGGTGTTTTTGGGCTCGATTTTGGCGCTGTTCCGTCCTTCAGGGCCACTGTGTTTCCCTGTCTGGGAGGGTGCGTTTTTTCAGCCTCGGGAGGAAGAGCAGCAGCAGCAACAGGAGCAACAGGAGGGTTCTATGTCTCATTGTAGAAACAGTGGTATAAAAATTGGTCGAAAACCATAAAACCTTGTCCAAAACTATTGTTTTTCTAGGGTTTCAGAAGGGACCTTAGGCAGTTTTTGGGCTCGATTTTGGCGCTGTTCCGTCCTTCAGGGCCACTGTGTTTTCCTGTCCGGGAGGGTGCGTTTTCAGCCTCGGGAGGAAGAGCAGCAGCAGCAACAGGAGCAACAGGAGGGTTCTATGTCTCATTGTACAAACAGTGGTATAAAAATTGGTCGGAAACCATAAAGCCTTGTCCAAAACTATTGTTTTTCTAGGGTTTCAGAAGGGACGTTAGGCACTTTTTGGGCTCGATTTTGGCGCTGTTCCGTCCTTCAGGGCCACTGTGTTTCCCCGTCCGGGAGGGTGCGTTTTCAGCCCCGGGAGGAAGAGCAGCAGCAGCAACAGGAGCAACAGGAGGGTTCTATGTCTCATTGTACAAACAGTGGTATAAAAATTTGTCGAAAAACATAAAACCTTGTCCAAAAACTATTGTTTTCTAGGGTTCAGAAGGACGTAGGCAGTTTTTTGGGCTCGATTTTGGCGCTGTTCTGGTCCTTCAGGGCCACTGGTTTCCCTGTCCGGGAGGGTGCGTTTTCAGACACACTGGTATAAAAATTTGTCGAAAACCATAAAACCTTGTCCAAAACTATTGTTTTTCTAGGGTTTCAGAAGGGACGTTAGGGAGTTTTTGGGCTCGATTTTGGCGCTGTTCCGTCCTTCAGGGCCACTGTGTTTCCCTGTCCGGGAGGATGCGTTTTCAGCCTCGGGAGGCAGAGCAGCAGCAGCAACAGGAGCAACAGGATGGTTCTATGTCTCATTGTAGAAACACTGGTATAAAAATTGGTCGAAAACCATAAAACCTTGTCCAAAACTATTGTTTTTCTAGGGTTTCAGAAGGGACGTTAGGGAGGTTTTGGGCTCGATTTTGGCCCTGTTCCGTCCTTCAGGGCCACTGTGTTTCCCTGACCGGGAGGGTGCGTTTTCAGCCTCGGGAGGAAGAGCAGCAGCAGCAACAGGAGCAACAGGAGGGAAATCGAGCCCAAAAACTGCCTAACGTCCCTTCTGAAACCCTAGAAAAACAATAGTTTTGGACTATGGTTTTCGACCAATTTTTATACCACTGTTTCTACAATGAGACATAGAACCCTCCTGTTGCTCCTGTTGCTGCTGCTGCTCTTCCTCCCGAGGCTGAAAAAACGCACCCTCCCAGACAGGGAAACACAGTGGCCCTGAAGGACGGAACAGCGCCAAAATCGAGCCCAAAAACTGCCCAACGTCCCTTCTGAAACCTCGAAAAACAATAGTTTTGGACAAGGTTTTATGGTTTTCGACCAATTTTTATACCACTGTTTCTACAATGAGACATAGAACCCTCCTGTTGCTCCTGTTGCTGCTGCTGCTCTTCCTCCCGAGGCTGAAAACGCACCCTCCCGGACAGGGAAACACAGTGGCCCTGAAGGACGGAACAGCGCCAAAATCGAGCCCAAAAACTCCCTAACGTCCCTTCTGAAACCCTAGAAAAACAATAGTTTTGGACAAGGTTTTATAGTTTTCGACCAATTTTTATACCACTGTTTGTACAATGAGACATAGAACCCTCCTGTTGCTCCTGTTGCTGCTGCTGCTCTTCCTCCCGAGGCTGAAAACGCACCCTCCCGGACAGGGAAACACAGTGGCCCTGAAGGACGGAACAGCGCCAAAATCGAGCCCAAGAACTCCCTAACGTCCTTTCTGAAACCCTAGAAAAACAATAGTTTTGGACAAGGTTTTATGGTTTTCGACCAATTTTTATACCAGTGTTTCTGAAAACGCACCCTCCCGGACAGGGAAACACAGTGGCCCTGAAGGACAGAACAGCGCCAAAATCGAGCCCAAAAACTGCCTAACGTCCCTTCTGAAACCCTAGAAAAACAGTAGTTTTGGACAATGTTTTATGGTTTTCGACCAATTTTTATACCACTGTTTCTACAATGAGACATAGAACCCTCCTGTTGCTCCTGTTGCTGCTGCTGCTCTTCCTCCCGAGGCTGAAAAAACGCACCCTCCCAGACAGAGAAACACAGTGGCCCTGAAGGACGGAACAGCGCCAAAATCGAGCCCAAAACCTCCCTAACGTCCCTTCTGAAACCCTAGAAAAACAATAGTTTTGGACAAGGTTTTATGGTTTTCGACCAATTTTTATACCACTGTTTCTACAATGAGACATAGACCCTCCTTTGCCTCCTTTGCTGCGCTGCTCTTCCTCCCGGGCTTGAAAACGCCACCCTCCAGACGGGAAACACAGTGGCCTGAGGACGGAACAGCGCCAAAATTCGAGCCCAAAAACTCCCTCCTACGTCCCTTCTGAAACCCAAAACCTAGACAAAACATTAAGGTTTTGGACCCGTTGTTATGGTTTTTCGACCAATTTTTGATACCACTTGCTTCCTTACAATGAGACTAGAACACCTCCTGTTCTCCTGTTGCTGCTGCGGCTCTTTCCTCCCAGGCTGAGAAAAACGCACCCTCCCCCGGCAGGGAAACACAGTGGCCCCTGAAGGACGGACAGCGCCAAAATCGAGCCCAGAAAGTGCCTAACGTCCCTTCTGAAACCCTAGAAAAACAATAGTTTTGGACAAGGTTTTATAGTTTTCGACCAATTTTTATACCACTGTTTGTACAATGAGACATACAACCCTCCTGTTGCTGCTGCTGCTCTCCCTCCCGAGGCTGAAAACGCACCCTCCCGGACGGGGAAACACAGTGGCCCTGAAGGACGGAACAGCGCCAAAATCGAGCCCAAAAAGTGCCTAACGTCCCTTCTGAAACCCTAGAAAAACAATAGTTTTGGACAATTTTGGACAATTTTTGATGCTTTTCAACCAATTTTTATACCATTGTTTGTACAATGAGACATAGAACCCTCCTGTTGCTCCTGTTGCTGCTGCTGCTCCTTCCCTTCCTCCCCGAGGCTGAAAAAAAACGCCCTCCGGACGGGGAAACACAGTGGGGCCCTGAAAAGGACGGAAAGCGCCAAAATCGAGCCCAAAAAACCCCTCCCTCCCTCCTCCTAACGTCCCTTCGAAACCCTAGAAAAACAATAGTTTTGGACCCGGTTTTATGGTTTTCGACCAATTTTTATACCAGTGTTTCTACAATGAGACATAGAACCCTCCTGTTGCTCCTGTTGCTGCTGCTGCTCTTCCTCCCGAGGCTGAAAAAACGCACCCTCCCAGACAGGGAAACACAGTGGCCCTGAAGGACCGAACAGCGCCAAAATCGAGACCAAAAACTCCCTAACGTCCCTTCTGAAACCCTAGAAAAACAATAGTTTTGGACAAGGTTTTATGGTTTTCGACCAATTTTTATACCACTGTTTCTACAATGAGACATAGAACCCTCCTGTTGCTCCTGTTGCTGCTGCTGCTCTTCCTCCCGACGCTGAAAACGCACCCTCCCGGACAGGGAAACACAGTGGCCCTGAAGGACGGAACAGCGCCAAAATCGAGCCCAAAAAGTCCCTAACGTCCCTTCTGAAACCTTAGAAAAACAATAGTTTTGGACAAGGTTGTATGGTTTTCGACCATTTTTTTTTATTTTTTTAAAATACCACTGTTTGTACAATGAGACATACAACCCTCCTGTTGCTCCTGTTGCTGCTGCTGCTCTTCCTCCCGAGGCTGAAAAAACGCACCCTCCCAGACAGGGAAACACAGTGGCCCTGAAGGACGGAACAGCGCCAAAATCGAGCCCAAAAACTGCCCAACGTCCCTTCTGAAACCGGTCATTGTTGTTGTTGTTGTTGTTGTCGTTGTTGTCGTTGTTGTTGTTGTTGTTGCTGTTGCTGTTGCTGTTGCTCTTGCTGTTGCTGCCAGAATATAAAATTAAAATAGAATCCTGCTGCCTGCTGCCGCTGCTCTTGCTGCTGGTGCGGCTAAAACTTGCTTGTCTTATTCCCTGGCGCTCTCCCCCTTGCGTCTGCCGGGGTCGGCGGATTTCTTTTGTTGTACGATAGCATGAGCAAGGTTTGTATAAGGAGACGAGAACCGAAGTGCTTCCGGGATAATCAAGAGAACTTTGCTGCAGGACGCCTTGCGAAGCAAGGAGGATATTTCTCCGTCGCACCAGCAAAGTGCCAGCTATCAATCAACTGAGATGCAGGAGGCAGGGCCTGTCCTTTTTGTCTTGTTGGGAGAAGCATGCGAGACAGAAGGCAAGACTATTTTGGTGAAACAAACGGAGTGGACTCTACTCACTTTCACTTCGGAGACACATTCCTGACCGCGTGCTTCTATGATCCATTCCTTGCTTGGTGAAGGCTGCAGTTCAGTCGATTGGTGAGGAGCTTTCTGTCATGACGGAGGCCCAAGAATGATTTGCTCGGCAGGGTTCATTGCCAAACAGCATACTAAATCTGTAAACGCTCCTGGGCTCACAGGCAGTCTCCAAACTGAAGCAGGACATATCTGTGAGCAAGGCACCAAAAGAGTACTAGATTTGCAGATCCATCGATCTACGCTTCGAAGGTTACAACAACAAAACGCATCAAACACCCTGTGGTCTTAACAACTCTTTGAGCACATCGGACGCATTGGACCCAGTATCTAAAATTCCAACAATCTACTTTTACTAAGCGTCTGGCTTTGCTGCAGGTACATATTGATGAGATGACGGAGCAGGTGCCCACTGTGCTGCTTTGACAGAAGGCATATGATTGCTGAATCAGCATTCTGATCATTATGTTTTTCAAGATGTTTGGCAGCAGATCTGAAGCACATGGGGGTGTTGTGAGTCTTGTGAGCCTGTTGTGTTGTACAATGCTTCATTCATTTATTTGGAGCGATGAGAAGTTCGAGCAAGCAACCACGGATTCGAATACATTTGCATGACCTCATGACCATGCTTCAATTATATCGAAGATGGGATAGGTGCTATATCCACATTGAGCATCCTACATCATAGAAAATGCATCTGCCACAAACTATGTTTGGATATGTTTGGTATTGAAAAAGAGAAATTTAGCACCTGGCAATAGGACTACATTTGAACATACTGACTTACACTAATGCTTTGATTTTGACAGACTCTACACGTGCAAGTCTGGAAATCACTGCATTCTTCTGGACTTGAGTGAAATATAGTGAAATCATTTTCTGATCCATGGAAGCAATGATGTGATTTGCCCATGGAAGCAATGGAAAGACCGAACTGCTGGGAAGCAGGGGCCTGAGATTCTTCGCTGTTTCTTCGCTAACTATGACATTACTAGGACTATTGCATACTATTGGGCTCAGGTAGCACCAGTCAGCCCAGCTGGAGTTCGTGGAGAACGTAGGTGCATGACTTGATGGTATCCTCAAATATTCTTGAGTTTTCAGCACACTCTGAACTATGCACACTGAAGAACATATGGCATGCAGTGCACACTTCCATTGATGCATTTACACGGATTCGGATATGTGCTCACATACCTATCTACCTAGCTAGCTAGCTACCTAGCTAGCTGCCTAGCTGCCAGGCTACCAAGCTACCTACGTACGCCCAATATATAATATATATCATACATTATCATACATAATAATAATATACAGTATTATCAAAGGAAGTTTAGAAGTCTATACTTCCGTATTACGGATCTTTGGATGTCGCTCCAATGGATGTCACTGCAACGGAAGTCACTGCAATGGATGTCACTGCAATGGATGTCATTGCAATGGATGTCACTGCAATGGATGTCGCTCCAATGGATGTCACTGCAACGGAAGTCACTGCAATGGATGTCATTGCAATGGATGTCACTGCAACGGAAGTCACTGCAATGGATGTCATTGCAATGGATGTCACTGCAACGGAAGTCACTGCAATGGATGTCGCTCCAATGGATGTCACTGCAACGGAAGTCACTGCAATGGATGTCGCTCCAATGGATGTCACTGCAACGGAAGTCACTGCAATGGATGTCCTTGCAATGGATGTCACTGCAACGGAAGTCACTGCAATGGATGTCGCTCCAATGGATGTCACTGCAACGGAAGTCACTGCAATGGATGTCATTGCAATGGTGTCACTGCAACGGAAGTCACTGCAATGGATGTCGCTCCAATGGATGTCACTGCAACGGAAGTCACTGCAATGGATGTCATTGCAATGGATGTCACTGCAACGGAAGTCACTGCAATGGATGTCATTGCAATGGATGTCACCGCAATGGAAGTCACTGCAATGGATGTCGCTCCAATGGATGTCACTGCAACGGAAGTCACTGCAATGGATGTCATTGCAATGGGTGTCACTACAACGGAAGTCACTGCAATGGATGTCATGGCAATGGATGTCACTGCAATGGAAGTCACTGCAATGGATGTCATTGCAATGGATGTCACTGCAACGGAAGTCACTGCAATGGATGTCGCTCCAATGGATGTCACTGCAACGGAAGTCACTGCAATGGATGTCATTCCAATGGATGTCACTGCAACGGAAGTCACTGCAATGGATGTCGCTCCAATGGATGTCACTGCAATGGAAGTCACTGCAATGGATGTCATTGCAATGGATGTCACTGCAACGGAAGTCACTGCAATGGATGTGGCTCCAATGCGGAACAAAAAGCGCCGCGAAAAGCGGCGAGAGGAGAAGGACAGCACTGACCCACAGGCGAGCGGGGAAATCGGGAGAGCTCGAGACGCCCGACGCATCGCCGACGCAAGCAGGTTTTCGGCCGGAGAAGAGTTGAGATGATCTGAGGGTGAGCTGAGAAGAGCTGAGATCTGAGAAGAGCTTAGAAGATGTGAGAAGAGGAGGCAGGAGATGAGAAGACCCGAGATGAGCAGACATGAGTTGCGAAGAGCTGAGAAAAAGAGTTGTGAGAAGAGCCGAGAGAATCTGAGAAGAGCTGAGATAAGCTGAGATGAGATGAGATGGGATGAGTTGAGACTACCGCGCGTGAGAAGAGCAGCGAAGAGCTGAGCTGCAAAGAGAAGAGTTCAGATGAGCTCAGAAGAGATGAGAAAAGTTCGGATGACACAAAAAGAAATGAGAACTGAGAACAGTTGTGATCAGCTGAGGAGAGCTGAGAAAAGGAGAGAAGACATGAGATGAGATGAGATCAGTTGAAAAACGTTGAGAAGACACGACATGAGATGAGATGAGATGAGATGGGATGACACAGACTGCAGTGACAATGTGATGCAATGAACAATTTCCAAGAGAAGCTGCGATGCGATGAGACCACGTGAAGCGAGAAAAGATCAACCTTCAAAAGCGAGCGCACCGGAATCAAAAGTCAAGAGGTTGTTGCTGCGATGCACAGAAGGGTTGGCCGCACCCTACAGGCACAGTCTTTGCTCCGTTCTATGGGCTAGAAACGTTTCAAGTTTCAAACTTCCGCCCCCGGCTTGCCCGGGTACTACTTGTATGAAAAGATATCATAGAAATAAAGTACATACACATTAGACACATGATCTATATGTAGCACCTATTTCGCAAACGTGCTATTGGAAGTTGGAGACAGTCAAACGTTCACTGCCAGGTCTCATAGGTTGCCGGAGGCGGAACGAATGCGTAGTTCCTTTTTGCAACGGCTGGAGGCACGGGTACCGGTGTCCCTACATGGTTTTGGCCCAACCAAGGTAGTTTCCAGCAGATTCCAATGACAAGGATGTGTATATATATATATAAAAGGTAACCTCTCTGAAAACATTTGGAGTCACCGTTCTGAACAATGCCCAATCCATGTTTGCCTTTCAGCTCGGGTGGGATTTCTTACTTCATTGAGATGGAATGTTTTCACTCAGGCCGCATCTCTCTCCAGGTGCTTGCCCTGGAAAAAAACAAATCTTTGAAACGCCGTTTACTCCTTTGCTTGACTATTTCAGCAGCCAAGGCTCTCCAGACATCGCTCCCTTCATGACCTTGCTTGACCCTCGTTCCACCATTTCCACCTGGGTCTTTTGATGATGAGAGTGATATATCAAAAAACATGAGAACTAACATAGACCCGGGCAAGCCGGCGGCGGAAGTTTCCCAAACATAAATGACCTATAGTTCAAAGACACCCTGTCCCGACCGTGTCCTTCCCTCGACAACCGTTTGATTTTTGCAGCGAGAGACGAAGCAAAGTCTTCACACTCCACACTCCACACTTCACACTGCACTCTTCGCACTCCAAACTTCAAACTTCAAACTTCACACTCCACACTTCACACTTCACACTTCACAGTCCACACTTCACACTTCTCACTTCTCACTGCTTCCTTCACACTCCAAACCTCGCACTTCACACTTCACACTGCGCTCTTCGCACTCCAAACTGAAACTTCACACTCCACACTTCACACTCCACACTTCACACTTCACACTTCTCACTTCTCACTGGTTCCTTCACACTCCAAACCTCACACTTCACACTTCACACTTCACACTTCACACTGCGCTCTTCGCACTCCAAACTGAAACTTCACACTCCACACTTCACACTCCACACTTCACACTTCAGACTTCACACTTCTCACTTCTCACTGCTTCCTTCACACTCCAAACCTCACACTTCACACTTCACACTGCGCTCTTCGCACTCCAAACTTAAACTTCACGCTCCACACTTCACACTTCTCACTTCCCACTGCTTCCTTCACACTGCACACTTCACACTGCACTCTTCACGCCCCACACTTCACACTGCTCTAAACCTACGTGCAACAAAAAAAACACTAGCGCCAAAATGGAGAAAATCTGCTAACAAATCCATTTCGCAGCCTTCATGCAGCCATTCCAAGACGATGTAGGAGATCCAGCTGCAAAAGACATTAGGCATGCAGCCAAAGCAAGAAGCAACCTTGACACAGCCATTCCAATGCGATCTGCGGAGACTGAGTTGCAAAACACAAGAGAACTACGCGCAATGGCATCGGAAATTGTAGCTCCAAAACCGGATCTCGACGCCAGAGCGAAAAAAAGACGATTTTGAAGCACTTTTTAAAAGGATTTTTAGAAGGAAAATCACTAATTAGCGCCAAAATGGAGAAAATCTGCTGACAAATCACTGTCGCAGCCTTCATGCAGCCACTCCAATACGATTTACGAAGTCCAACTGCAAAAGACAATAGTATTACGCATGCAGCCACAGCATGAAGCAACCTTGACACAGCCATTACAATGCGATCTGCGGAGACTGAGTTGCAAAACACAATAGAACTACGCGCAACGGCGTCGGAAATTGTAGCTCCAAAACCGGATCTCGACGCCAGAGCGAAAAAAAGCCAATTTTGAAGCACTTTTTAAAAGGATTTTTAGAAGGAAAATCACTAGCGCCAAAAACGCATTTCGTGCGAGACTTCCTTCAAAACTCCTTGACGCAGCCATTCCAATGCGATCTGCGGAGACTGAGTTGCAAAACACAAGAGAACTACGCGCAACGGCGTCGGAAATTGTATCTCCAAAACCGGATCTCGACGCCAGAGCGAAAAAAAGACGATTTTGAAGCACTTTTTAAAAGGATTTTTAGAAGGAAAATCACTAGCACCAAAATGGAGAAAATCTGCTGACAAATCACTTCCGCCGCAGAGGTAGATCATCGAGGTTCGGGGACGGACTTTCTATGGAAAAACATAGGGTTTCGTGCATCTGCTATCTCTCAAAGACGCATTTCGTGCGAGACTTCCTCCAAAACTCCATCGGCAACTCATCCACCAGCACCACTTGCAACCCCATTTACAATGCAGGAACGATCCTACAGTTGCAAATCACAATGGAATTCTGTCGACCACACATGCACGAAAAACAGTTGAACCCCCATTTACAATGCGGAACCGATCCGAGACCGATCCGAGAATATCCGAGCATGATCCGACCACACACGAGACCGTCTCGCACCCGTCGCACCGCAGAGGTAGATCATCGAGGTTCGGGGACGGACTTTGTATGGAAAAACATAGGGTTTTGTGCATCTGCTATCTCTCAAAAACGCATTTCGTGCGAGACTTCCTCCAAAACTCCATCGGCAACTCCTCCACCAGCACCACTTGCAACCCCATTTACAATGCGGGAACGATCCTACAGTTGCAAATCACAATGGAATTCTGTCGACCACACATGCACGAAAAACAGTTGAAACCCCATTTACAATGTGGAACCGATCCGAGACCAATCCGAGGATGATCCGACCACACACGAGACCGTCTCGCACCCGTCGCACCGCAGAGGTAGATCATCGAGGTTCGGGGACGGACTTTGTATGGAAAAACATAGGGTTTCGTGCATCTGCTATCTCTCAAAGACGCATTTCGTGCGAGACTTCCTCCAAAACTCCATCGGCAACTCATCCACCAGCACCACTTGCAACCCCATTTACAATGCGGGAACGATCCTACAGTTGCAAATCACAATGGAATTCTGTCAACCGCACATGCACGAAAAACAGTTGAAACCCCATTTACAATGCGGAACCGATCCGACCATGATCCGAGAATATCCGAGAATGATCCGACCACACACGAGACCGTCTCGCACCCGTCGCACCGCAGAGGTAGATCATCGACGTTCGGGGACGGACTTTGTATGGAAAACCATAAACTTTCGTGCATCTGCTATCTCTCAAAGACGCATTTCGTGCGAGACTTTCTGCAAAACTCCATCGGCAACTCCTCCACCAGCACCACTTGCAATCCCATTTACAGTGAGGGAACGATCCTAGAGTTGCAAATCACAATGGAATTCCATCAGCAACTCATCCACCAGCACCACTTGCAATCCCATTTACAATGCGGGAACGATCCTACAGTTGCAAATCACAATGGAATTCTGTCAACCACACATGCACGAAAAACAGATGAAACCCCATTTACAATGCGGAACCGATCCGACCATGATCCGAGAATATCCGAGAATGATCCGACCACACACGAGACCGTCTCGCACCCGTCGCACCGCAGAGGTAGATCATCGACGTTCGGGGACGGACTTTGTATGGAAAAACATAGGGTTTCGATCCTCGTTCGAATTTCAACTACAGAATGGGAGGCCTTGTGCCCCGTTTCAAGGCCTTTCCAGGCTTAAATTAAGATGAAAAAATGGGGATGGGCCAGGCATTTTGTACCCGCAGCTTGGGAATTGCATTTTATAAGTTGTCAACGTTTCGGTACTTGAAAGACCTTTAAAAATCGAAAGTCATTTTGTAGCAAGAGAATTTGCCCATCGGAAGACAACATGTAAAAAACCAATCTCATTTTGTAGCAAGGGAAGTTGCCCTTCGGAAGTGTTCCCTTCAAGTAACCTGATGATAAAAACTTATAAAAACCAATCTTCATTTATAGTGGTGGAGTGTCCCCTTCAAGTAACTTGATGATAAAAACCAATCTTCATTTTGTAGTATTGAAGTGTTCCCTTCAAGTAACCTGATGATAAAAGCATATAAAAACCAATCTTCATTTTGTAGTGGCGGAGTGTCCCCTTCAAGTAACTTGATGATAAAAACCAATCGTCATTTTGTAGTGGTGGAATTTCCCCTTCAAGTAACCTCATGATAAAAATCCAATCTTCATTTTGTAGCAGTATCATGTTGTCATTTTCCGTAATCCTCTGGGGGTTGAGAACCATCATTTTATAATGGCTGAGGTTAGGAATTTTGATGCTTTGGTACAAAATGGGTTCTCGACCCCATAGTAGAAATTCAAACCGGGATGGGTTTCGTGCATCTGCTATCTCTCAAAAACGCATTTCGTGCGAGACTTCCTTCAAAACTCCATCGGCAACTCATCCACCAGCACCACTTGCAACCCCATTTACATTCAGGGAACAATTTCTTTGCTAACTCTTTCTGTGACTAACTCTTTCCCTCACTAACTCTTTCTTTGACTAACTCTTTCCCTGACTAACTGTTTCTTTGCTAACTCTTTCTTTGACTAACTCTTTCTTTGACTAACTCTTTCCCTCTGATCCTCCGTGTTTCCGGCACTTAAATTTATGACACGCGCGCTGCTACCTGGTGCTGGTACGAGCGGGACACGTACGGCATCGGGTGCACTAGCTTCTGACACCACTGGATGCATAACTGTTTGCGAAGCGGGTACGGCGGGTCGAAACACCGCACCGTCCCCGGGATCGCCTGCAGACAGCGACTGGGACGCACCGTCCTCTGGCACAGCTGGACCCATTGCAGCTTGGGAGCCTGGCACGGCGGGTCGCAACACCGCACCCTGCGAGACATTGGCGTTCTCCGTTGCTGATGTGATGTTCACCGAAGACAGTGCTTCCGCCGCTTGCTTGGCGGCCTTGACTCGATTGTGCTTGGCATATCTTTTTTTCAACCAAACCGGGCAGGTGGGGCTTCGCACAAATGCATGCAACTCTGCAACAGCCGTCCCATCTTCGAGGTGCATCGGATCCGCAGCTTCAGTTCGAAAAGGGCGATGCAGACGCAAGCACAGACGGGCCATGGCGCCCGCCTCCTTGCGGCGAGCATCCAAGCGCAAGAACGGTTTCTCCTTCACAATCGTGCTTTTGGTTCGCAAGTGCAACGACTTCCCACGTCGATCTATGCGACTAATGAACTGAAAAAGGGACATGTTCTCAAGAGATGCTGCGGAGACATCGACTTGCGCCTTCATGTTGAATCGATCCAAGTAGACAGCCACCTTGCTCTTCTTCACCACGTTCTCTTCGGCAGATGCTAGTTCAATGCTGGGCAAATCTTTCAAGGCGCTCGAATCGTCCTTGACATTCAGAGACGTCACATACCTGGACGACAGGACACGGGGCAAATCCATCAAAATATGCCATGCCTCCAAGGAACAAATTTCATCCGGAACGGCCGAGTGAATAAAAAGCTTTGACAAAAGCGATGCAACAGTCATCGTCTCACGATCACCCATGCGACATACGATGTCATCTATCAATCCGCTGATGCGACTTTGCGCACTATGGCCTCCGCCGATTTTGCCCATATACTTAGTCAAGTAATTCACAGCGGCTTGCACGGTCAGTACCACTTGATCATCTACGTTAGCCACCAAACCCATAGCTTTCAAGGGGTCGTGCGTGTTCAAGTGGTGGCAATTCCGACGCGTATACAACCGGAACAAACTCTTTCGCCGGCTATCTTCCAAAATGGCACCCATTCCTGGTAACATGCGAGGTTTCTCGTAGTCCTTGCCGCAAAAACTTTTGCAATGTTGTTTTTGCGCGCAGCTTTCTCGCTCCAGAGGCCTGCGCGCAATCTTTGAACCCAGTCCGGGTCTCAAGATTTTTACCCGTTCTGCTACAAGTTCGCACTCGCCGGCAACCACAGGCATGAACTCAAACTTCGCTTGCACAAATGCATGATCCAAGTCCTGCGACTGAAATGAAACATCGAACGACCCCGGCTGCAGTTCCACAGTGGCGAAGGCAACCCGTTCGGTAGCCTCTGTCCCAGCCCGTAACGGCGTAGGACTAGGCTTGTCCATGTGCCCAAACTGACACAAAGTCAAAATGCGATCGAAACGCCACGCACGCACGCGTGCATCATCCGCTTGCATGCTTTCAGGACACCAGGTGCCACACCGGGTTTCCGGGCTTCCATCTTCTTCCCATGCATCTCGCCAGCCTGGGGACACACCTGGTGGCAAGGCTTCTTCCAGACGCATGTTCAAGTCACCAGCGAAAACACAAGCGTCTACGTTGCTTAATGCTTCTAGAGTAGCCAAAACAGATTGAAGTTCCGAAGCCCTTTGCTCTACCATGCTCGAACCCGACGTGAAATGCGCCGTGGCAACCAACAGCATTGACCCATTGTCACGGAGAGCGACATACACCTGTAAAAGCTTTCTGTTGGAAGGAGACGGTAAAGGCGAAATCGTGACTCTGCGAGACTGTAAAACGTCAAGCTTCAACAGAACACACACATCAAACCCTTCCTCCGGCGTTTGGCCACGCAACAGCGGCGACACCGCTTCGTAACCGTTTTGTTGTCCCAACAAGCAAAGATCTTCCAAGCACTCAGCGGTGACTTCCTGCAAGAACAGAACATCGCACTTGTCCAAGAGATCCTCAAGCCAAGTACCCGGCGACAGCAAGTGCATGTTCAGTGTTCCAACACGCAGCGGACACTGCTGCATCCGCGCCGTGACAACTTCTGCTTCTGGCTCGGCGCCTTCTTCTTCCTCGGGCTGTGTGTCCACATTCGCTTCAACATGAACAGGCGGAATTTCAAAACCTGCACCACCGTGCCGATCATGCCTATTGCATTTGTCCGTCAGCCTGCGATACCATTTGCGACGAGCACGGCGAACCAACCTGCAGTTGTTGGTCATTAGCAAAGCTTTTTGCGCAACAGAAATTCGACAGGGGTGCCAAGTTGGATCTTGGAGAGAAACATCCAAACTACGCAATAAACTGCGATCTGTTTCTGTCAAAGCTTGTGTCACACGAGCACCTTGTGACAGCACATACACCATTGTAGTTGCTGTGGGGTAAACACGTTGAAAATCGACGTCCTCTGCCACAGCATGCTGCCCAAACAAATCTGCAGCTGCACCGAGATCTAAACCAGCACCAGGGGCCTTACGGCGAACGCACTTTTCGTCCAACGCATCCTCCATATCCTCGGAGCCATCAGATTCTGAGTCTGTGTGCAAAGGTGACCCTACACGAGCAGATCTGGCAGCGCAATTGTCCACCTCATGAAAGGTCCACTTCTCTGCTTTGCTGAGGCTCCAATCCGTCAAGTACTCTTCATGCATCTCTGCAAACTGCGCCGCTATCTCGGCACTCTTCTCGTCCGGTTGCTGCATGCCTGCTGCGGTTGGATCGACACGGGGCATGCAAGAGCCAAAATTGATCGAATGCAAATGCATAATGCCACCTGCGCCCCATTCGAACACACCCTGTCCATCCTCATATCTCAACACATGCTTGTAAAAGAGCTCCATTTTGTACGCAGTGAACCAGGCGACCACACCGGGGTAACGCAGGACTCGCCGGCGTTCAGACGACAACTGCCGTTCTGCTGGTTCCAAGGGATCGGCTCTGTTGTTCCGCTGCTGCAGGACAGCTGCTTCATACCGCTCTAAGCATGTGGCTAAATCATCCCAATGGTAAATGGCGGTTGTCAAAGTGCTAAAGCGACATGGGATTTCACCGCCACCCTGCACACACAAGCTACGCTGTTGCACCTCCAACAGCAAATCTTGAATAGTTTTAGGCCCTGAGCGGCCCCTGGAGCACGCAAAGCCACTTTCTTCCTCCGCAGCTGGGCTGACTTCAATTTCCTGCTGCATCGGTTCTGCCGCGTGGTCCGCAACGACGCGCGCGACATCAGGCTGGGGCCCTTCATCCATCTCGCGGTCCACAACGACACACGAGACAGAAGGCTTAGCTTGGGCTTCAATGGTTTCTGGCGACAAGACCTTCTCCACCGCAGCTTTTGCAACGGAGCACACGGCTCGCACTTCTGCAGCAGAAGTAGCAAAACCTTGCTGCTCAAGCATGTTTCCAGCAGATTCCGCTTCGCGCCAAGCTTGCAACAAAGCGTGAGCCTGATCTTGCAACGTCTCTTGTTCAATCTGCTCCACCATGGCCTCTAAGTCACTGCGTTCTCGCAACTTCTCCTGCGCTGAACCGGCCATGGAGTGTTCGAAAGCTGACACAATCTTGGTGAACTGAGCTTTACCCATGTTGAAAAGTTCCTCTGTAGTGTACGCAACGTTGCTGCTGGCCCCCTGCTGGCGCTTCATAAAATATCCCCGGGCACGCAAAGCCTTGTTGCGCAAAGCGGTGTTCAGAGCAAAAAAATAGAACCGTGGGTGGGCTTGAAATCGACCATCCGAACGCAAAAGCAAATGCTTCAGCCACTCCCAGAAGGACAACGGCTGTTGGTTTTCCTCTTGGCGCTGCTGCAAGTGCGCCCAAAAATCTCCTTGTCCAAGTGGAAACAATTTCACAAAACCAGCAACAATGTAATAAGGTTGATCTTCCCTAACTAGTTGGTTTCTGGATGCTACGGTTGGGGGATCCAGAATAGGCACACCTTGCACCCGCGCTGCTCCAAAACGACGAATTGTAGATTTGTTGCTGGCGCTTTCGTTGGCTTTACAGATCGTCTCCCATAAGTCATCCTTCAATTCTGCTTCAGTCTGCTGGCCAGCTACATCTTCAGGCGACCACAAGCCATCCGACACCAAAGGCTCTTCCCAGGAAGCTAACTCCTGCACTGCCGTCAGTTCATCATGCAAAATGTTTTCTACGTCTTGCACATTTTTATCCGAAAACTGCAGAGACAAGTATTGAGCCAGCGTTGTAAACATCAAGTCTGAAGGGCCGCCCACGACATCCGGGGCTTTGGCATCCATAGCAGCACGCAAATTCTTCCACAGAACATCCACCCTCTCCGCCGGATCCTGCACATCTTCGGGCTCATGCAAAAGACGTACCTGGGCTGCCATCTGCAACTCCAGCGAGCACGACATCCACAAAGCGAACAGCTTGCGCTCCACGCGCTCCCATGGTCTTTGCTCGACGACATGAACTTGCAGACCATGGGGTTCCTCGCCTTCCTCAGTGTCTGCATACTGGTCGAGGTTTCCCCGCTTCACCAAATCGACGTAGCCGCCAGGTGTCAGTGCTCCGGGCTGGAGAGCCAAAGAACCATCCTCCTCCAACGTGCGACAAAGGCGATCAAGAGCACGTTGCAAACGTCGCCTTGACACAAGGAAAGGTACTCGTTGCTTGCGGTTTGGATCCTTGGGGCACCGCCGTATCAGAAGCATCTTCATGTCACCCACAGCTGCAGGGATGTCACGAACATACTGTGGGCCATTTTGAAACAGGTTACCCACGTGACCGCGGAGCTCACATTGTCCTGTTGCGTGCAACGTGAAGATGCGGACAATATGCTGGATTGGCGACAAGATCTCCTCTTCAAAGAAGCTCAAAGCGTCGGTTTCTGGCAACGTTGGCCCAGGATCTGCGAAGTTAGCACCTGTCAAGCGGAAAGGCTCCTTGGGATAGCCCTCCGCAGCACGTCCTTTAGCTTCTCGCAGACAATTTTGACAGATCGGTCGCTCTGGGTCTAGCCACTGGTTCTCAGGCGCACGCAAGAAATTGGTCTTCTTATAGGTTTCGGTTTCAAAACCACCGGGCAAGTCTGACCGTTTTCTATCACTGCCAAACCATCCTTCGTGGCAATAGTCACAGTCTTGAAATTTTAAGGAAACCATAAACTCATCCACCTCATGAACACGGTGCAAAAACGGCATGATCCTTGCCTCTGCATCCATACTGTTGCCAAACAGCTGACGCAAACTTTTCGGCAGTCTTGGGCGTGGAAGAGCGTCGCCCAAGACAGTCTCTGCATCGTGTAGTTTGGCCTGGTAACTACTTTTCACGGGCACACAGCAGCTTTTTAACAACAGATCATCCAGTTTGATTCGAAGTCGCTGTTGCTCCGAATCTTCCAATTTGGGAAACACACGGCTGACAAAATCGTAACAAAATCTAACCTCAGAATCAGATTTCTTCGCGTGCCCGGTAAACAGACCATGAACACTTGCAGCCCCAAAGCCGCGAAATTCTGCCTCTCTGCGTGCAAGTATGTTTTCAAATTTGTCCAACATCCTGACAACCGCGGGCCGCAACGCCGCACGATCGTCTTGCGCATGAGGCCAAAGAATTCCTGCTTTCAAATCCTCCACTTGTTCCTTTTGCTCGGGACTCAATTTTTCTGCGCTGCGCCGCCAAAAGTTTTGACAAAATTTCAACTCCGAATCTTTTTTGCACATATGGGACGAAAAGATGCCTTTCAGGTCACATTTGCGCAAGGCAGACAGCTCCTGTGCTCGAGCATGCAAAGTTGCAAGGAAGCGCCGAAAACCATCATCAACATGCTCCTGGGAACAAATCTTGGAAGACCAGTCCTCAAGAACCTTGCGCTGCTCATCCGTCAACATATCTTTCCGCCGACGGAAAAAGTTCCGTCCAAAACCAAGATCATTGTCTGCATTGCTGACACGTGTCCCGAAACATGCTTCGAGACTTGTTTTTTGCATTTGACGCAAGTCATCTTCACGATTTTCCAGTATAGTAAGCAAACGTGCGAAATCTGCCTCGATGGCAGGACATAACCCCGCACCATCGGCACAAATGATCTCCTCCCATTCATCCACAACCTTTTGCTGCTCATCTGTCATACTTGTCTTTTTGCGCTTGAAGAAATTTCGGCAAAAGTTTAAGTCCTTGTCTGTATTGCTCAGGCTGCTGTTGAAGCATGCTTCGAGACTTGTTTTTTGCATTTGTCGCAAGTCATCTTGACGGTTTTCAAGTATAGTAAGCAAGCGTGCAAAATCTGCCTCGATGGCAGGACATAACCCCGCACCATCGGCACAAATGATCTCCTCCCATTCATCCACAACCTTTTGCTGCTCATCTGTCATACTTGTCTTTTTGCGCTTGAAGAAATTTCGGCAAAAGTTTAAGTCCTTGTCTGTATTGCTCAGGCTGCTGTTGAAGCATGCTTCGAGACTTGTTTTTTGCATTTGTCGCAAGTCATCTTGACGGTTTTCAAGTATAGTAAGCAAGCGTGCAAAATCTGCCTCGATGGCAGGACATAACCCCTCACCATCGGCACAAATGATCTCCTCCCATTCATCCACAACCTTTTGCTGCTCATCTGTCATACTGGTTTTTTTGCGCTTGAAGAAATTTTGGCAAAACTTTAAGTCCATGTCTGTCTTGCTCAGGTTGCTGTTGAAGCATGCTTCGAGACTTGTTTTTCGCATTTGTCGCAAGTCATCTTGACGGTTTTCCAGTATAGTAAGCAAGCGTGCGAAATCTGCATCGATGGCAGGACATAACCCCGCACCATCGGCACAAATCTTCTCCTCCCATTCATCCACAACCTTTTGCTGTTCATCTGTCATACTTGTTTTTTTGCGCTTCAAGAAATTTCGGCAAAACTTTAAGTCCTTGTCTGTATTGCTCAGGTTGCTGTTGAAGCATGCTTCGAGGCTCGGTTTTCTCATTTGCTTCAGCTCCTCTTCACGGCTTGCAAAAATGGCAAGCAACCGTGCAAAATCAATGTCCTCCGCCTCACTGCAAAGCCTTCGTTCCCAATCCATTAGAGTACCTTTTTGGTCAGCCGTTACTAACTTCTCAATCTTATTGTAAATTCTATAGTACTTGGCTCGCTCTGCATTTGCTTCGTATCCTTTGGTGCCTGTCCCTGTCCGCAAGCATGCTTTCAAATTCGTGGCACGCAAAGCCTTCAACACAAGCTCTTCTTTCTGCAAGAAACAAAGAAGGTCTTCGAACAGCGACGATTCCATGGCGCTAGCTTACGCGGACCACAGCGTCGCACGTACCCACGCTTGCGCGGACCAGAACGTACGCGTTGCGAGTATACGCAGTTGCAAGGTTGTATCGTGTCCATGCGTGCTGTTTGTTGACATCGTGTACCTGCTATATATGATAGCTACGTTGCATGCTTGCTATATATGATCGTTTTCTGACCGAATCGATGTAATCACTCAACAATACTTACGAAAATTATTTTTCCACCTATATATCCAACATGCTGCTACACATATGTTAGCCAACGCGGACCGTAACGTCGCACGTCGGGTGTCCCTTGCAAACTCCATGATGCATGCGTTAAAAAAAACATGTGATGATTCAAAACATGACATAATATGATTTAGGTCTTGCTGATAGATTTGATCACATATGCATGACCGACACAAACGGCAGCGGCACCATTGCAGAGCTGAAACTACACAACCGCTACCAGACAACATCATAGGGCGAATATAACAGATCGAAATTCCCCATAGTCGAAGTAAAGAAACAATTACACGTACCAACTAGGGTCCAAGAAATACGAAACGCACTTCCTCATCCAAATTGTAGATCCCCAACCAACCATCTCATTCAACAGAGGTCAAATAAACACGAAACATACCATCTCACCCAGCTTGAGGTCTGATGTCTGGAAAAGGAAATGGTCCAGAAAATCATACTTTCAACAAACTACAAAAATCCAACCCATGCTGCATAAAGCATTGAGCGGATCTTAGTGGGACCTTGCATTTACCCGCTCCCACGACACCATGTTTTTTTCACATGTATGCAATACGATCATGGTTTTTTGTGCGGTTCGTAACAACGCACACTGAAACCAAAACCAAGTGACAGAGGCATTCTGCGGTTCGCAGGGTCAAATGAAAGGCGAAGCTACTGAAGCACAGCCATTCACACCCGGATGCGGTTCATAACAACGCACACCCAGCCCTCGGCCGTCAAACGAGAGTTGAAACCTCTGCGGCAAGACCTTGTCTGCGCTTCATCTCAGCATCAACAAACTCTGGTTGAAAGGACCGCACAGCTTCCCAGAGATGACGGTATTGTCTGCGGAGAACTTCGTCGTCCGACTCTTTGTCGTCCAACCACGTACTGTTGTTGTGCAAGACGATTTTGAAGCACTTTTTAAAAAACTTCGTCGTCCGACTCTTTGTCGTCCACCCACGTACTGTTGTTGTGCAAGACGATTTTGAAGCACTTTTTAAAAGGATTTTTAGAAGGAAAATCACTAGCGTCAAAATGGAGAAAATCTGCTGACAAATCACTGTCGCAGCCTTCATGCAGCCACTCCAATACGATTTACGAAGTCGAGCTGCAAAAGACAATAGTATTACGAATGCAGCCACAGCACGAAGCAACCTTGACGCAGCCATTACAATGCGATCTGCAGAGACTGAGTTCAAAAAACACAATAGAACTACGCACAACGGCGTCGGAAATTGTAGCTCCAAAACTCGACGCCAGAGCGAAAAAAAGACGATTCTGAAGCACTTTTTAAAGGGATTTTTAGAAGGAAAATCACTAGCGCCAAAATGGAGAAAAGCTGCTAACAAATCCATGTCGCAGCCTTCATGCAGCCACTCCAATACGATTTCCGAGATCCAGCTCCAAAAGACAATAGTATTACGAATGCAGCCACAGCACGAAGCAACCTTGACGCAGCCATTACAATGCGATCTGCAGAGACTGAGTTCCAAAACACAATAGAACTACGCGCAACGGCGTCGGAAATTGTAGCTCCAAAACCGGATCTCGACGCCAGAGCGAAAAAAAGACGATTTTGAAACACTTTTTAAAAGCATTTTTGAAAGAAAATCACTAGCGCCAAAATGGAGAAAATCTACTGACAAATCAGTGTCGCAGCCTTCATGCAGCCACTCCAATACGATTTAAAAAGTCCAGCTGCAAAAGACAATAGTATTACCAATGCAGCCACAGCACGAAGCAACCTTGACACAGCCATTTACATTGCGGGAACGATCCTACAGTTGCAAAGCACAATGGAATTCCATCGGCAACTCATCCACCAGCACCACTTGCAATGCCATTTACATTGAGGGAACGATCCTAGAGTTGCAAATCACAATGGAATTCCATCGGCAACTCATCCACCAGCACCACTTGCAACCCCATTTACAATGCGGGAACGATCCTACAGTTGCAAATCACAATGGAATTCTGTCGACCACACATGCACGAAAAACAGTTGAAACCCCATTTACAATGCGGAACCGATCCGAACATGATCCGACCATGATCCGAGACCGATCCGAACATGATCCGACCACACACGAGACCGTCTCGCACCCGTCGCACAGCAGAGGTAGATCATCGAGGTTCGTGGACACACTTTGTATGGAAAAACATAGGGTTTCGTGCATCTGCTATCTCTCAAAAACGCATTTCGTGCGAGACTTCCTTCAAAACTCCATCGGCAACTCATCCGGCAGCACCACTTGCAATGCCATTTGCATTGCGGGAACGATTCTACAGTTGCAAATCACAATGGAATTCCATCTGCAACTCATCCACCAGCACCACTTGCAATCCCATTTACATTGCGGGAACGATCCTACAGTTGCAAATCACAATGGAATTCTGTCGACCACACATGCACGAAAAACAGTTGAAACCCCATTTTCAATGCGGAACCGATCCGAGACCGATCCGAACATGATCCGACCACACACGAGACCGTCTCGCACCCGTCGCACAGCAGAGGTAGATCATCGAGGTTCGTGGACACACTTTGTATGGAAAAACATAGGGTTTCGTGCATCTGCTATCTCTCAAAAACGCATTTCGTGCGAGACTTCCTTCAAAACTCCATCGGCAACTCATCCAGCAGCACCACTTGCAATCCCATTTACATTGCGGGAACGATCCTACAGTTGCAAATCACAATGGAATTCCATCTGCAACTCATCCACCAGCACCACTTGCAATCCCATTTACATTGCGGGAACGATCCTACAGTTGCAAATCACAATGGAATTCTGTCGACCACACATGCACGAAAAACGGTTGAAACCCCATTTACAATGCGGAACCGATCCGAGCATGATCCGAGACCGATCCGAACATGATCCGAACATGATCCGACCACACACGAGACCGTCTCGCACCCGTCGCACAGCAGAGGTAGATCATCGAAGTTCGTGGACACACTTTGTATGGAAAAACATAGGCTTTCGTGCATCTGCTATCTCTCAAAAACGCATTTCGTGCGAGACTTCCTTCAAAACTCCATCGGCAACTCCTCCACCAGCACCACTTGCAATCCCATTTACAGTGAGGGAACGATCCTAGAGTTGCAAATCACAATGGAATTCAATCGGCAACTCATCCACCAGCACCACTTGCAACCCCATTTACAATGCGGGAACGATCCTACAGTTGCAAATCACAATGGAATTCTGTCGACCACACATGCACGAAAAACAGTTGAAACCCCATTTACAATGCGGAACCGATCCGAGACCGATCCGAGAATGATCCGACAATATCCGAGAATGATCCGACCACACACGAGACCGTCTCGCACCCGTCGCACCGCAGAGGTAGATCATCGACGTTCGGGGACGGACTTTGTATGGAAAAACATAGGGTTTCGTGCATCTGCTATCTCTCAAAAACGCATTTCGTGCGAGACTTCCTCCAAAACTCCATCGGCAACTCCTCCACCAGCACCACTTGCAATCCCATTTACAGTGAGGGAACAATTTCTTTGCTAACTCTTTCTGTGACGAACTCTTTCCCTCACTAACTTTTTCTTTGACTAACTTGTTTCTTTGCTAACTCTTTCTTTGACTACCTCATATATCCTGACTAACTCTTTCTTTGACTAACTCTTTCCCTCACTAACTCTTTCTTTGACTAACTCTTTCTTTGCTAACTCTTTCTTTGACTACCTCATATATCCTGACTAACTCTTTCTTTGACTAACTCTTGCCCTCACTAACTCTTTCTTTGACTAACTCTTTCCCTCACTAACTCTTTCTTTGACTAACTCTTTCCCTGACTAACTGTTTCTTTGACTAACTCTTTGTTTGACTAACTCTTTCTTTGACTAACTCTTCCCCTGACTAACTGTTTCTTTGCTAACTCTTTCCCTCACTAACTCTTTCTTTGACTAACTCTTTCCCTGACTAACTGTTTCTTTGACTAACTCTTTCCCTCACTAACTCTTTCTTTGACGAACTCTTTCCCTCACTAACTCTTTCTTTGCTAACTCTTTCTTTGACTAACTCTTTCCCTCACTATCTCTTTCTTTGACTAACTCTTTCCCTGACTAACTCTTTCTTTGACTAACTCTTTCCCTGACTAACTGTTTCTTTGCTAATTCTTTCTTTGACTAACTCTTTCCCTCACTATCTCTTTCTTTGACTAACTCTTTCCCTGACTAACTCTTTCTTTGACTAACTCTTTCCCTGACTAACTGTTTCTACCTCACATATCCTGACTAACTCTTTCTTTGACTAACTCTTTCCCTCACTAACTCTTTCTTTGACTAACTCTTTCCCTGACTAACTCTTTCTTTGACTAACTCTTTCCCTGACTAACTCTTTCTTTGACTAACTCTTTCCCTGACTAACTCTTTCTTTGACTAACTCTTTCTTTGACTAACTCTTTCCGTCACTAACTCTTTCTTTGACTAACTCTTTCCCTGACCAACTGTTTTCCTGACTAACTCTTTCTTTGACTAACTCTTTCCCTCACTAACTCTTTCTTTGACTAACTCTTTCCCTGACTAACTCTTTCTTTGACTAACTCTTTCCCTGACTAACTCTTTCTTTGACTAACTCTTTCCCTGACTAACTCTTTCTTTGACTAACTCTTTCTTTGACTAACTCTTTCCGTCACTAACTCTTTCTTTGACTAACTCTTTCCCTGACCAACTGTTTCTTTGACTAACTCTTTCTTTGACTAACTCTTTCCCTCACTAACTGTTTCATTGACTAACTCTTTCTTTGACTAACTCTTTCCCTCACTATCTCTTTCTTTGACTAACTCTTTCCCTGACTAACTCTTTCTTTGACTAACTCTTTCTTTGACTAACTCTTTCCCTCACTAACTCTTTTTGACTAACTCTTTCCCTGACTAACTGTTTCTTTGACTAACTCTTTCTTTGACTAACTCTTTCCCTCACTAACTGTTTCTTTGACTAACTCTTTCCCTGACATTCTAAAAGTCCGTAACACGGAAGTTTCTCCCCCTAAACTTCCTTTGATCATATTGATCTGGCGTGCTTTGCTGTACCCAAGGTTGACAGTGACAGTGATGCAAGAGAAACTTCTCCAGGTTTGCGAGCCAAAGTTCAAGATGCAGACTAATAAATGCTGCTTGCAACCAGTTGACAAACAATATAAAAAATGATAAACCAAGTTCATCTGGCATTCTTGCCAATCTTTCTTTCAATTTCGCCGATACGAAGACACCACCTCGTATCTGAGCGTTTTCGATGAAAATGGAACAACACTGGGTACACTCCAGGTTCTGCAGGCGTTGTGCAGAGCATTGGTGCCAGGGTTTCCAGGCGGAATACCAAACTGTGGGGTATAGTACCTGTTCCTGTGCTGCCATTTGGTACCGGTGCCGTTCGCTCATCTTTATGGCGACCTTGTAACTGGAGAGTCTCCATTCTTGGCATGTCTGATTTGTCTGATGCTCCCGCAGCGTTCCTTTAAAGCTGTATGGATGCTAAAAGGGCTTTTAGAACTAAAACATTACATTCTATTTTGATTCTATTAGAGCCAAGATCAAACTCGGCAACATTTTTTCAGAACCAAAATTTTGGGAAGTCTCTAGAGAAGGAAGCAGAAAAATGCAGGTGCTGAGGGGACAATCAGCTGAGATTCAGCGCTGTTGCCATGGCTGCAGAGGCCGCAGAGGTTTTGATCGCTCGTGGACCTGTGCCCGCTGAAGCAGAGCTTGGGACGTGGATCCCTGCGAATTGGAGGACTTCAGCCTCTGCAGGCGTTTTGGGCTTGGCATTAGCTGGCCCAGCTGGAGGCGCTGTTGGATCGTTTCTGGTGTTTGTCTAAGGTCTGTACCATTTTTCGGCAAACCTTCAACTCGAGCAGCTTTAAGTTTGTTGAATTGATTCACATCGCCGCAGTTTAGAGCATTGTGAGATTGTGACCCCGGAGGTTTCCTGGGAGTGGTGAATACTGTCATTACTGGCCCTGAAGCAATGCAGCCAGAGTCTGCACTGGGGCAAGCCACGCATTACACAGTTGTTGCCTGTCCAAACTTAGAACCCTAAAGCCTAAAGCCTACAATTCAAGGCTTCAAGCATGATGCGAACGGCACTCTTCTCTGCCAGAATAGTTCATATTGATTGAATTTTGTGATATTTTCCATCAGCAAACCGTGGCAGACCTTTTCGCAGTGTTTGAAATGAACGAGACACGAAACCAGCCGTTGCCATAAGGCCACTGGCCTTGTTGTTGCCTGTGTGGCTGGCGGTCACATCCTACTGGCAACTGCTGGCATTGCTGGCTTGAGCTTCAATGCTGCGCAATATATGATGGACTGCGGCTTTGGAAAGTCAGATGTAAATGATCCAACTGTCTTCGTGTTAAAGGCCTCATGAATGCAGAAGGAAAATGAACAGGCAAACTGCAATGAGGCTTTTGTATGCTTTTGTTTGTATTGGCTGGTTGTCGCAAGGAGCCAGGAGCAGACTGCAATCATGACAGTGACTTGGTGTCAATTCAAGTGCAGTGCACAAATGCGGTAGTAGAAGCTGATCGGGGAGGAGCTTACTAGGTTTCACAATGTTATTTTCCTTAGGCTCAAGGGTTTTCAGATACTCAAAACACTTGTTTGAGCAGGTTGGGGTTTGTTGTAAGAATCCTTTTGCCATCATTGAAACGCTGTGTTTCAGCCTGAAGACCCAGATTCTTATTGTTTTTTTGTTATGGAAGTGGAAGATGATGTGGAAGCAAAGGCCAAGTGAATGAAGGTGAAGCGAGAGAAGAGGAGCAAGACACAGAGTCCTTGGCGTCCGTGGATGACGAGCTTGCAGATGAGATTCAGGCTGTGCAGAGCTGTGCAGAGCTGTGCAGAGCTGTGAGATGCTGTGAGAAGGTCAGCTTGTGTAGGACATTGTAGGACCGTAGGAATCGTAGGAATCAGGGATCCTCGCTGCCTGTCTTTGGAATGGCCATAGGATGTGTCGGATGTGCCTCCCCCGCAGAGCTGGCTTTCGAGCTTGCCGTGCTTTGCAGGCAGGAGCAAGAAACGCTAAGAAACGACAGGTTTGAAATGTTTTGAAATGTTTTGAAACATGAAAACAATTGAAAGGTGCCAGTGACCTGACATTATGCCAGGATGTGCCGGATGGATGTTCTCTTCCGCAGCGCCAGTGTCTGAAGAACCAGATTTGGACGTGGGAGAGCAAAGGAAACATTTGCTCCGACGCAGCCACCGCAATTTGAGGCGAGTTGCTAGAACAAAATGAACAAATGTCAGATAAGAAAGCTCTGTGTTCAGTTCTCAATTTGATTGTTTTGATCTGCCAAGCACAATTTGATCGCAGACATTTCACATGGAAGCCCACAGGGAGTTGGAGGGAAGTGACGCATCTTTTCTCCTCTTCGAGACTACGAATCTTCCAAAGCCAAAGATTCAAAGACGCTGCGATGCTGCAATGCTTCGTCCTGTCACACCTCTGGCATTGAACAACGGAGGTAAAGAAGCAATTGTGCCAGAGCTGCATGGATTTGCATAGTGCACTGTGATGTCATGTGAGCCATGTTTTACATCCTAATTCCTATGCAGATTTCACAACTGCTTGCAACCTTTGGCTTCTTTGGTTGGCTTCAAGAGAGGGCTTGGGAAATCTGTGCATTCGTCCTGAATAGATCTGAATAGGGAGGCGGAGTAGGTTTGTTGGCGAATCTAAGGTAAACGAATACTTCACCGGGCACGTGCTGATGATGCATCGCCCGATGGAGACACAGACACAGCAGACGCCAGCTCGGTATTCTGAGTACTTTGCGAAGAAGACCCGTCGGTGGGAACTGCGACTGCAAGGTGTCTTGATCAGATATGGTACTGTACGTTTGAAATCATTTGAACATATTTGAATGAGGAAATTGTGGACATAGATTTTGAAGAATGGCGGAGTGGTACCATCATGACAGTCACTCCACCAGAGCACCATAACTTCGCAACGGTTTTGAGTGAAAACCAAATTGTTTCTCTGTACTGTACACTGTAGTAGTAGTAGTTGTTGTTGTTAGTAGTAGTAGTAGTAGTAGTAGTAGCAGTAGCAGTAGCAGTAGCAGTAGCAGTAGCAGCAGCAGCAGCAGTAGCAGTAGCAGTAGCAGTAGCAGTAGCAGTAGCAGTAGCAGTAGCAGTAGCAGTAACAGCAGCAGTAGCAGTAGCGGTAGTGGTAGCAGTAGGAGGAGCAGTAGGAGGATGAGTAGTAGTGGTGGTGATGGTAGTAGTAGCAGCACTGTAAAAGACTGAAGCAAGCCAAAATTGCCTTGGTCCAGCCTAAGCTCAAGGTAGATTTCACAAGCGTCCAAACGGCAAGCTCTACATGGGCGTACCATACTCAGCATGACACTATGACGCAGTTTCAACAGTTGGTTTCAAATTCGCACTTTGCACCTTTGGAATTGATGGAATATAGCTCTTGAGGCTTTGGATTCTGAATGATTGAATGGATTGACAAAGACAGGAATTAGTTTGTGTATGTTTCTGTGCTGTGCTGTAGCCAACCGAGAAAAGAAGTTTGTGCCAATTGGCCCGGGCAGCTTCAGTGATGTCTCAGGTGGTCTTGAGGGATTTTGACTACAGCGTGCCTCTGAGCTTTTTCACATCCTGGCTAAGCACTCTCAGCATCACACCACTGGACCGGGGTTGTCCGCCACATTCAGAATGGAACCATTTGCCAGAGTAATGATGTAGCGGTTTGGCATAAACACAGAGAAGCGAAGAACACAGGCAGAAGACCCAAGAACGTGGCTTGCTCATGCTTGATATCAGATAAATAATGACACTTGACACATTTTGCAACAACTCCACAAAGTTTTGTTCTCAAAAGAATTTGTTCTGCTCGCAGTTTGGCTGGACAGAGACAACCGGATACAGAGCCACGGCGCCGCAGGAGTATGTTGTTGGAAGCAAAGTCACCCTCAACTTCGGAGATAGGGAGCAGGCCACAGATCAGAAGCAGCCACTCATCAATCTTGGTTGCTTAACTCGTTTGTGTTGTCACGGCTTATTAGAGTCAAGTGCCATGGGCAAAGCTAGGGTAAATTGCCATATTGGGGGATGGTAATCAATCCATACGGATCACATACACCCATGATAATATCCCATGATAAGGATTCCCACTATGGGACAGATGACCATAACCCATATGGCCCATATCCATGTTTTGACCATGGCACATAGGAAAGCACAACTGCACTGATTCACAAGTCGCTGTGCTAGGCCGCCATGAAAGATGAAGCGATGTTTGCACAGGTGGTTGCAGGCTTACAGGCGGGGCATTCCAAATTCCAAGGTCTTTTTTCCCCAACAGCGTAAGCTAATGGGGTCTTCAGCCCAGAATAATAGCTCCGGTGTGCACTGGTGCAGGCGCCGGGTCAGGTTCAACGAGGTTCCGGAGAAGGTTCCGAAGGTTCCGGAGAAGGCCTGGGAAGCTTTGGTGCAAAGCCAGGTCAGGTTCAACAGGGTTCCGGAGGAGGTTCCGGAGAAGGTGCGGGAGGCTTCGGTGCAGAGCCAGGTTAGGTTCAACAGGGTTCCGGAGAAGGTTCTGGAGAAGGTTCTGGAGAAGGTTCCGGAGAATGTGTGGGAGGCTTTGGTGCAGAGCCAGGTTAGGTTCAACAGAAGTCCGGAGAAGGTTCCGAGAGGCTTTGGTGCAAATTCAGGTCAGGTTCAACAGGGTTCGGAGAAGGTTCCGGAGAAGGTTCCGGAGAAGGTGCCAGGTTAGGTGCAACAGGGGTCCGGAGAAGGCTCCGGAGAAGGTTCTGGAGAAGTTTCCGGAGAAGGTTCCGGGAGGCTTTGGTGCAGAGCCAGGTCAAGTTCAACAGGGTTCCGGAGAAGGTTCCGGAGAAGGTCTGGGAGGCTTTGGTGCAGAGCCAGGTCAGGTTCAACAGGGTTCCGGAGAAGGTTCCGGACTGGAGAAGGTTCCGGAGAACGTGTGGGAGGCTTTGGTGCAGAGCCAGGTTAGCTTCAACAGAAGTCCGGAGAAGGTTCCGGAGAAGGTTCCCGAGAAGGTTCCGAGAGGCTTTGGTGCAAAGCCAGGTCAGGTTCAACAGGGTTCCGGAGAAGGTTCCGGAGAAG